GGAAGAGGAGGAGGAGAAGGAGGAGGAGGGGGGGAAGGAGAAGGAGGAGGAACAGGAAGAGGAGGAGGAGAAGGAGGAGGAGGAGGAGAAGGAGAAGGAGAAGGAGGAGGAGGAGCGAGGAGGAGAAAGAGGAGGAGGAGAAGAAGGAGGAGGAGGAGGAGCAGTGGGAGAAGAAGGACGAGGACGAGGAGGAGGAGGAGAGAAAGGACGACGAGGAAAAGAGACGACGACGACGAAGCCTCCAAGGAAACGACGACGACGACGACGACGACGACGAAGACGACGACGACGACGACGACGACGACGACGACGTCGACGACGTCGACGACGACGATGCGGCGGTCCTCGGCCACAGGACGGCGGCCAGCGCGGGGGCGGCGGCGGCCGCCAGGACTGCGGGCGCGGCGCCGCAGCCGCCCACCGCCGCCCTCCGAGGCGCTCCGAAGCGCTCCGAGGCTCGCCGCGCTCGAGGCTCGCCGCCCTAGTTGTCGTCGCCGCCGCCGCCGTCGACGTCCCCGTCGTCCTCCTCGGCCTCGTCGCGGTCCTCCTCCTGCTCTCTGCCGCCGCTGCCGTCGTCCCCGGCCCCGCCGTGCGGGCGGGCCCTGCGCAGAGCCCGTCCAGGCCGTCCATCCTCATCCCCCCGTTCGCACTTTTCTCCCCCCTCCTCCCCGCCCGTGCTCCGCAGAAGAGTTGTTCCACAAGCAATGGCCCCTTCGACGACGAGCCCCTGCGCCTCCAAAGATGACGAGAACAACAGCGAGGACGACGTCGGCGACGGTGACGGCGACGACGACGATGACGGCAACGAGGCCAGCCACTGCGAGGCATTAGCCTCTGCCCCCGATCCCCTTCCCCTCGATCACTTCCCGGCCTGAGGTGGTTCCAGGGCAACCTGGGTTTCGGCCACTGGAACTTCAACTATTAGGAACGCAGTCACTGCGAGCACCGCCGTCGTGTTGTGTGGACGGGTGGGGAGAGAGGGAGTAGAAGAACGAAAGAATGCAGAAACAGAAACCTTTGGCGGTCCGCGCGGACTTCTTGAAACCGCGCCGGACCCCCTCCCCCCTTGGCGCGCGGAACGCTCCCGGGGCAGTTCCGGGGGCGCTGGGCCCACGCGCAGATCCAAGAAACCCGTGCGGAACTCCGAAATGTTATCTCCCAGCCCTCCTGCGTTAGGTACTCGTTTTGAATCGAGCGCTGCGCGCGCGTATCTTCTGCCTCCCGCCTCCCTCCTCCTCTCCTCTTCTCTCCTGCCTCTCACCTCGCTCCTTTCTTCTGCGTGCCAATTTGCCTCCTACCTGGCCGTCTCTGGGGGGTTGCGATTTGGGAAGGCGTCGCCACTTTCGAAAGCTGCTGGGGGTCCAGCGGAGTTACGTCTTACGCGGACCACCAGGAGACCTCGCTATCCCTGGGGGGCTGCGATCTGCGAAACCGTCGCCACTTTCGAGGAGTGCTGCGGGGCCCAGCGGAGTCACATCTTACGCGCCAGACCTCGCCACCCCTGGGAGATTGCAACGTGCGAAACGGTCGCCACTTTAGAGCGCTGCTGGTGGGTCCAGCGGAATGATGTCCTACGTGGACCAGGAGACCTCGCCATCTCTTGGGGTCCAGCGGAATGAGGCCGTTTTCTGTCGACTGGGGGTTGTTTCGAATTCCGGGGTCGTCGGAATCACGGCAGGGGTGCAGGGAGTGCCGCGAAGCTGGTCAACTGCGTCAACCCTGGTGAAGCGGGCAGCATGCACGGGATGCTACCCCTGCACGGGGACACGCGCAGACGCCTGCTGGAGCACCTGGACCAGACCAGAGAGCTCGTCAAGGACGCCGAAGGCGAGGTCGTCCATTTGGCCATCGACCCGAAAGATGAAGGCGAGGTGGAGGCAGCGAAAGCCGAGCGACGTCCGGCGTACCTGCGGTGCCTGCCGCACGGCGTGTGTGTGCGCATGGACAAACACAAGGCCGGCCCCTGCGGCAAGAAGCTCGCGGAGTTCGATGACAGCATCGACGCCGCGGACGTGGCGGGCGTCATCTTCATCGAGCCGCAGGGTTCGCGCCCGTTTGACTTCTGGAAGCATAAGGTCACGCGCACCAGCCTGGCCACCTCCCATGCCGAAATCATGACGCCCACGGCCTCCCAAGGCCGCACCATGCATCGCGGTGTCATTGTCGACGCCGGGTGCAAGGATGAGAAGAAAATGGATTATGGCTGCATCTCTACGTGATGCTGTCCAGGGCAACGACCGTGGACAACCTCCCCATGATGCGCGACCCTGGCCTGGATTTCCTGGCCCGCGGGCTGCCCGCAAACCTGGCGGCGCGCCTTCGAGCGCTTAGCCCCCGCACTGGTAAGTGCAGGAAGGAAGCAGAGAAAATGGCGGGCGAGCTAGACCTCAGCCGATTCTTGCACTAACTATAAACACGTTTGACAATTTTTGCGAGCGCCCAGCGACATGGCGCAGGCAGCGCTGCATCTCTAGCGTACTACCGACAAAACCAACACTGTTCGGTCTCCTCCCCTCACTTTCGTCGTCACCTTTTGCCCCTTGCCACCTTCCCTCTCGCTGCTGCCGCGCTGACGGTTCGGCCCCCCCTGCGCCCTTTTCTTGCCCTTCGCTCCCGCCCCCATGTCCTCCTCAAGTCTGGGACCCCGCCCCTCGTCCTTCTGCTGTTGTCCTGTGAATCGTGCCACGTGAGCGCATCCAATGTATTTTGCACAACAAAAAACGGCGCATGCACGGTCATTGTCCTGGCAAGTTTGGGACAACTCCCTTTGTCACTTTGATGCAAATGGGTTGGGTACGTCACAGGGTAATGTTGTGCACTTCTGTTCGTCCTCGAGGGATAGGAGGCAGGGAGCTGGGCCCACGCGCGAGCCTCAAGTTTCAAAGCCCACCGCAGCCCAGCGCTGTGTACCTGACGGCCAGGGGAGCGGTCTGCTCACCAGCTCTGCCCATCGTGCAGGGTGATGCGAGCGAGGAGGAGGAGGAGGAGGAGGAGGAGGAGGAGGAGGAGGGGAGGGAGGAGAGGAGGAGAGGAGGGAGAAGGAGCAGGAGGAGGAGAGGAGGGGAGGAGGGAGGAGGAGGAGGAGGAGAGGAGGGAGGAGGAGGAGGAGGAGGAGGAGGAGGAGGAGGAGGAGAGGAGGGAGGGAGGAGGAGGAGGAGGAGGAGAGGAGGAGGAGGAGGAGGAGGAGAGGAGGAGCAGGAGGCGCAGGAGGAGCAGGAGGCGGAGGAGGAGGAGGAGGAGCAGGAGGAGCAGGAGGAGCAGGAGGAGACGCAGGAGCAGGAGCATGAGGACGAGGAGGAGGAGGACGAAAGCAGCTCCCTGTGCCCCGCCTGGCCCCTCCTCTCAGCGGTGGGTGTGCGCTGGCGCCGCCAGCGCAGGCTTGCTCGGATGTCCACGTGGACAGGACGGAACGGACGGCACATACGGAAGACACCATACGTATTCCGCCATCGATTGATCAATCAAGTAAACAGCCAAAAAGTATCAGCATGCCGTAAAACTTGTTGGTCGACGACGAGACTGGCGACGGCGGCGACGACGACGACGACGACCACGACGACGATCACGACGACGACGAGACTGGCGACGGCGGCGACGACGACGACGACGACGACGACGACGACCACGACGACGATCACGACGACGACGACGACGTCGACGACGACGACGACGACGACGACGACGACGACGACGACGACGACAACGACGACGAGGGACGAGGACGATGACGAGGACGACAAGAACGACAACAACGACAAGAACAAGGACGACGACGATAACCAGAAGGAGGACGACGACGACGATGGTGACAACGACAATGACGACGAATAATGACGACGATAACGACGACAACGACGACGACGATGGCGACGATGGCGACGCTGACCACAACCACGACGAGCCCTCTCCCCCGACGTATCCTCATTATTTTGAGACGTGGGACCCTTGAAATCTCGACCCCCTCCCCAAGGTCTGGCTCCCCATCCCGAATAATCGTCTTACAACGGTGCCGGCGCCGGCAACTAGCCTCCACGGATCGATAAAGTCGAAAATTCTGCCGTCACCATTTCCAACCCTCCTCCTCCTCCTCCCCCTCCTCCTCCTCCTCCTCCTCCTCCTCCTGCTCCTCCTCCTCCTCCTCCTCCTCCTCCTCCTCCTCTTTTGACTGGGGGGCTCTTGGGGATGGGCCTCAGGACCACACATCACCTTGGCCAAACAGGTCAATCCTGCTCTCGCACGGGCTTTCCCGTGTACGGATTCTTACCGTCCAGGATTCGATCACGATAGAGCTTCCGCCACCGATGGGCGGCAATACCCTTCGTCAAAGGGCCCTCGCATTCCCGCAACAACTTCTGGGCTCGGGAACGGGCGAAAGCCCCACAAATTCGGCACACAGCATAACCCACCATCTCAACCACTTCGTGTTCCCGAGGTGGGGGTGGAGGTGAAACCTGGGACCCAGACCCCCTTGCTTCCGCGGCCCTCTCAGCCGCAGCTGCTCGGATCTGGTCCGTCACACACTCGCCGTGGGCCAGGGCCTTGACTTTCAAACGGGCCCTGCCTTTTGAAATGGCTCCCCCCCCCCCCATCCAGGGCACAACTCCCGCTTGGCCAAGCTGAAACGAGCGGCCACGCGGACGAGGCGAGAGCACTCCAGACACTGCCACTTACCACCCTCAAGGAGCCTAAAACGATGGGCCCGCTCAGGCGCGACTGCCAAAGGGCGGGCGACACGTTCATTCCTCCGAGTCCGACCAGCAGGCGACGGCAGGCTCGTGGTGGTAGCTTTGGCTTCACTAAGATCCACTCTGAAAGACGCTGCATACTGTAGCAGCCTCTTCTGAAATTTAAGACACTGCTGGACCTGTTCCACCTTCCACTTTGGGGCGGCATAGGGGTCAGCTCCCTCTCTTGCACGAGCGTCAGCACACCTATTCATATCAAAATGCACAAGACTCTCACCCGATAGACAGGCTCTTTGGGCCTTGGTCATGTGAGACTTAATCTTGACAACTTGAAGGGACTCCCCTGGGATGAGGCACTGATCCTCCAGGGCGTCCCAAACAAGCTTCCACCGGTGCGCGGTGATCTGCTCGCTATTCACACAAAATTCCTTGCCCGCCAAGAGCCCCTGAACAACCTGCTTGCTATCTAACAGGAGCCCTACGAGCCCTACCGAGTGCTTAACAGCCTGGTACACAGCCCAAATCTCACAGTGGGCCGACGTGGGCCTCGCAACTGGCACAGCACCGAACAATGACTGGAACTCACTTTTCTTTGCAGCGCTCCAGGTGATGGCGGCGAAGCCTCCCGTGGATATCTCCTCCACGTCGGGGGACAGGACGCATCCGTCCGTGGCCACCCAGCCCGACAGCACCATCTCGCCGTCAGGATCGCCCCACTGGTACTCGTCGGGCGGCGTGGGCACCTGGTACTCGGCCACGGGGTCTGCGATCAGGCCGCGAGCCCATTTCCAGAAAAGCGCGTCGCCGCCTCTGCAGCCCTGCTCCTCCTTCGTGGCGGCCGTCTCGCCCAAATGCACCACGTCCCGAAAACTGTTCTTGAGAGTCGGCTCCGTGAGCCCATCCCGAATCGTGACGCACACGTCTGCATCACAAAGAAAATACACATGCATCAACGTGCCCTTCTTCTTGCCGCACAAAGGGCACAGAGGGCTCGTGACCTGGCCGCGCTCGTAGCACACCGTCTGCACAGGGTAGCCTCCTAGCGCGACCGTCCTGGCACTGTTGATGTGGTGCCTCGTCCAGGCCTCCGTGGTCTTGGAGCGCATGAGCTGCTTGACTGGCAGCAGGAAGGGAGTGGGTCGGAGCGGCTGGCGCCCCTCATCAGCTAGCGCCCAGTCCATGAGCTTCTTCTTTGCGACCGCCCTCTCTGCAGCACGCAGGATCTCGAGGGGGGCGACCTCGCGGATGTCCCACTTGCCGTGGACGCCGTCGAGGATGGTCCAGGCGTCCTCCATGTGCCATCCCAGCTCGTGCACCGTCAGAATGGTGGCCGCCGCTGGCCCCCGCACCATCTTCCAGGCGTCGAACTTGGCGGGGCCATAGGTGAGGGCACGCTGCACCTTGGGCCACTGACGGCCCCAAGCGTGGGCCATCTCCTTCCGTCTCTCGGGCTGGTCCCAGGCCTCGCGCAGCCATGCCCGAAGAGGGGCGATCCTGAGCTGCTCGGCGCCGTCCGTCCTCGGCGCGATCGCCCAGCCCAAGGTGCCCGAACGAAATGTCCCAGCCCCCGCGCGCACGGCAGCTGTCTTGGCCATGACGAACTTGAGGACTGCAGGAGGAGTGCCAGCGCAGGTCGCCCCATACGCCACTGACGCTTTGAGGCCTTGCTGCACCACAGGGCGCACCCCCACCCCTCTGCGCTTAAGGGCCGCCGCCTTGTGCCAGCGGCCTCGGGCAGTCTGGACCCGTCTGGCTCTGGCGGCCTTCCTCCGAGGGCCCTGGGGTTGGTAGTCCACGCCCAATCAGCGTTCGCTCTCACCGTGCTGCAGGCCGATGTCCGCCATGGGCTGTGCCAGCTCCTGTGCCAAGGTGCCGTCGCTAGATACGAACTTTGACTTGCCTCCCTCACCCTTCGAGACCTTGAGCTGTAGCAGCGACTCCAAAAGGCGGATGAGGGCACGGGCCAGGTCGGGGAAGATCGCCTTCAACTGTGCGCTCCTGCCCACCAACCGCAGGGCTAAGTCGTCCACAAACTTCGTGATCTCCAGTTTGGCCCCTGGCCATCGGGCCACGACGTCCAGGATAGGATACAGCACCATCTTCAGGAAGCGATTGGCGTGCTTCGACCCAGCGGGCAACCCCACGTAGGTACAAATGGCGTCGGCGACGGCCTGGCCCTTTCGTACCGCCCGAGGGAAGGCGTACGACTCCAGAGAAAGGGCCAAGACACTCATGGGCGCTTGCTGCACCATGCCGAGAATCCAAATCAAGTTGAGCGCTACATATTCATAAGCCTTCTCCAAATCCATCAAGGCGGTGAGGGACGCGAAACAGGTACCTTCCAAGGCCTCGTCATCCAACATCGCTCTCCATACCGCATGCTCACTGCTGCGCCCTGGTGATGCCCAGTCGTAGGGCCTCACGTGGGCCCGCTCCCACTGCCGAATCAAGGGATCACGAACAGCCTCCCAGATGCGCACTGGCGTGGGAAAAAGGAAGATGGGCCTGCCGCCGCCGTCCTCCTTGGCGACCAGGAAAAGGATGAGCATGCGTATGGCCGTGGGCCACGAGCAGAGCCGCTCGCACAGCATGAGGATGTCCCCGAGGCTGTTCAGGGCCTCGTCACTGAGCCAGGCCAGGTGTCCAAAGTGCCAGCCGTCAAGCCCGAGCCCAGTCTTCCATTTGTAGCTGCGGCATATGGTGCGCACCTGCATCGCGTCGATGGTGGGCAGCACCTGCGCGTGGGCCATCCGTTGGGCCTGGACCTGAGTGTCCTGCCACAACTTGGTGTAGTCACCTGACCCAGCGCGCCAAATGCTAGCCCACTCCTGCGCCTCCTGAGTGACCGCGAGCTGCGGGTCCGCTGGCAGCTTCCGCTTCTTGGCCGACGAGATGGGCTCCTTCCACGCCTGCTTCCAGTGGCAGATGCGGTGCAGGTAGCCCCCCGAGCCAGGGAACTTCGCGCTCAGGCGCTCGTAGAACCGCTTGGAGCGCTGCCGCATGAGGTGCTGCTCCCAGGTCTGGGCCCGCACCTTGGCGAACTGCTGCAGCGCGAAGATGGCCTGCGCGCCGATGATGTGGGGCTCCACGTCGGCGATGGTGCGCAGCGCTGGCAGTATCCCCGCGCTCCAGGGCTCCAGCTGGTCCCAGTGGTGCCTCGCCTGGAACAGCTTCCTCCAGGCCCGTCTGAGCTGGCCTGCGACCTCCTCGTTGTAGGATCGAGGAGGCCCTTCTCCCGAGGTGGTTGCCTGGCCTGCTGGGGCCTCCGACTTGGCCTTGGGCACCGACTGGCCCCGCAAGACGCAGCAGACGAGTTGGCCAATCCAGGCCAGTTCCCCCGCGGCCCAACGCCAGGCCCTGGCTGGGCCTCGATCAGCCACGGGGCTGTCATGCTTCGGAAGAAGCTGTCTCTGCACCACCTCGGGAGTCAAGCCTCGGCCTTCATACCTGCGTGCCTCCGACTCTGTCCAGCCGAACAGCGATCGAAGCTCGGCCTCAGCTGCAGAGCAAAACCCCCTCCAGCACTGGTCCAGGTGCTGCTGCGAGCCGTGGAGCAGGTCGAGCTTGGGGTAGCCCTGCGGGATCTCGGGCTGCCTGACAGGTGGTGGCCTAGTGATTGGGTACTGCTTCGGGCCCTTGAGGACCTGGATCTGGCACGCGTGCCAGGGCTTGTCCGCGCGGATCCAAGTCGGCCTGTGCGGCCTGTAGGGCATGTTCTCGAAAGACTTCACTGGGCAGAAGATCACGGCCAGCCTCGCATCCATCCAGAAGAAGTCAATGACCCGATCCTTGAACTCCTCCACGCCCTGCTTAACCACCTTGGACCTGCATGTGCCTCCTTCCCCTTGCCAGGCCAGAACTTGGCCCTTGGCCTCTTGGTTCCAGGGGCTGTCGAGGATGGCGTGCGGTTCATTGTTGAAGTCACCCATGGCCATCCAGGGGATCCTCATTTGGCAGACCCAGTGCACGATGGTGTCCAGCAGGGCCGCGTTCAAAGCCCAGGTGACGGGCTTGCCCGTGAACAAGTACACCGAGAAAAAGGCCACCCAGCCAATGCCCTTGACCTCGGTCATGCCCAGGCACAGCCTGCCTGCGGCGCCCGCGGGGGAGATGTCCCACGACGCCTGGCCTGGCGCCAGGCTGAGGCTCAGGCAGCGCGGTGTGACCAGCGCCACACCTGCGGAGTAGCCGCCCTCTGCCGTGCGCACGGCAGGCGCACCCACAACTCGCCAGCCCCGTCGCTCTTGCGCCGCCGCAGTGACGTGGAACCACTCGGCGGGCTTGGCGTGCTCCTGCACCGCTAGGACGGGGACGCCGCCGCTCTTGATGAGCTGGCCGATCTCCTCTTCCATGAACTCTTCGACGCGGGCCCAGGAGAGGTTGGCATTGATGGTGGCGGCGATGACGTGACGAGCTCCTCGCCGAGTGCGTCGGCGACTCTGAGACGGCCCAGCTGGGGCATCCCCACCGTGCTGCGACCTGCCCTCGAGGTAGACGGACTGAGAGGTGTTGGGTTCGACGGGCGGTGGCTGCCTGCCCATGACCGCGGGCGCGCAGTAGCCCTTGCCCTGGCCAGCGTACGCGTCCCCGCCGCCCCCAGCAAAGCCATCCCCGTGCAGCTCCTCCTCGTAGAGGCCCTCGCTCGTCCAGAACTGGCCGTCCCCGTAGGTGGTCCAGTCGAGCAAGGGCGGGCCCGCGGGCCCATCAAAGAGGCGCCTGGGGGGGCGCCTCCTCGCCGAGGTGGTCGTAGAAGGAGCCCAGCACCGCCCGCTTGGCGGCTCGCTCCTCCTCGGGCAGCCCGCTGAGGTACCGGTCCACCAGCTCGTCTCTCTTGCGCTTCTGCTCCTCCACTGATCCGCCGCCGCCGTCGGCCGATGCCTCAGCAGCAGGCCCCCCTGGGGGCGCGGCAGCCGCCGCTGCACCAGGCCCCCCAGGAGGAGCGGCGGCAGCAGCAGCGGGGGCCCCTGTGGCCTGAGGGAGCCCCTTGACCAGCTTGAGCAAGCTCTGGAGGGACTCCACGAGCGGCTTGGGCACCGAGTCTCCGTCGCCCTCGGTGTCCCCCACCAGCTTCTCCAGGTTCGCCACGAGCTGGCTGATGACCGCCTGCCCGCAGTGGGGGCCACCGCCGAGAGGGCCCGCTGCCCCAGCTGGGGCCTGCTCCTCAGCAACCACTCGCCTGGCCAGCTGAGCCTTCTCCTCCTGCAGCTGCTCCAGCTCCTTGCTGGCCGCCTCCTGCATCCGCTGAGCCTCCGCCAGGCGCTGCTGAAGCTCGGGCACGACCTCATCGCGCTGGCGAGCGAGCTTGCGCTGCGCGGCGGCCATCTTGCCCTCCAGCGCCTGCAGCTGCAGGTGCAGAGGCTTGCCTGCCCGCTTCTGGGCGACCAGGGCCGCCCTCTCCGCCCGCTTGGCCTCGATGATGGACCCGAGGCTGGGGTCTGCGAGGGACTCCAGCATGCCGATCAACTTGTCGAGCACCGCGATGGGGTCGGGCTGCTCGGCTGCCTTGGACTTGAGCAGGTCAGTGCCAGCCCCGAAGTAGCCCCAAGCAGCGCCAGCAGTGCCGCGAGGAGCGGGGCCAGCCACGCCCTTGTCCTTGCCCTTGTCTCCCTTCTCCTTGCCCTTGCCCTTGGCCTTGCCCCCAGCTGGGGGGTTGGCCGTCTGCCACGGTCGCCGCACTGGAGCGGAGCGGGACGCACGCGTGATGGCCGCCTGGATGTGCTTCGGCGCGGGGGCGAAGCACTGGCGGCACTGCATCTTGGTCGCGAAGTTGCCCCCTGTGCCACAGTGTCCACATGTCCAGGGCTCGGCCCCCTGGAGCGAAGAAAGAAACTGAAGCGACGCATCCTTCCAAGGTGCCATCAACACGCTGTGGCTGGCAAAGAGGACGAGCAGGGCGGTTGAGTACCGAATGTGCCCTGACTGGTGATGTCAGGGGAAAGCTGCTGGGGCCGTGTGCGCCTCTCGGGCGCTCCCCAATGCCAGAAAATCTCCGTCCGCTGCTGACGCCTGGGCCACGCTACGGACTTGAGCCAAAATGGCTACGGCCTCCTCCTCCTCCTCCTCCTCCTCCTCCTCCTCCTCGTCCTCCTCCTCCTCCTCCTGCTCCTCCTCCTCCTCCTCCTCCTCCTCCTCCTCCTCCTCCTCCTCCTCCTCCTCCTCCTCCTCCTCCTCCTACCTCCCCTCCTCCTCCTCCTCCTCCTCTCCTCCTCCTCCTCCTCCTCCTCCTCCCCCTCTCCCCCCCTCCTCCTCCTCCTGCTCCTCCTCCTCCTCCTCCTCCTCCTCCTCCTCTCCTCCTCCTCGTCCTCCTGCTCCTCCTCCTCCTCCTCCTGCTCCTCCTCCTCCTCCTCCTCCTCCTCCTCCTCCTCCTCGCCTCCTCCTCCTCCTCCTCCTCCTCCTCCTCCTCCTCCTCCTCCTCCTCCACCTCCTCCTGCTGATTTTGCCATACCGGGTCCCCAACAGGCCCATCTCTTTGGGCCGCCTTTCATCCTGAGCTGTTTTTTGTAGGCCCTGAGCCTGGCAAGAGTCCCCACAGACCGAAAACGGCGAAAAAGCGTCGCACGAATTTTTGCACCACTACGGAGGTTTGGGTATTGTTCGCGACGCCTGGATCTGAGAGAAGACGACCACGACAACGACCGCCGCGGCCAAGACATACGGCACTTCGATGCTTGCTTCTGCGTGAGCCCCCAGACCTCTCGACCACTTCCCCGAGGCCGGCTTCCCCTCCCGAGTTGGCTTCTCGACGGCCCCGAGGGTCGAAACTGGCCCCCTGAGGCCAGAAATGGCAGTGAAGCCCACCGCCTCCCCGACGGCTCGGATGCGCCAGCATCATCCGAAACGGCGACCCATGCCGGGGGGCCACCGGCCCACCCCTCGGGCCCAGACCCCCGACGGCGCGGATCTGTTCTCAGCGTGGCCCTCCACGGGTCTGGACCCCTGCCCCGGGGCCGGCTGCCCCTTCTGGGTCGTCTTCGAGGTCTCGGGGCCCCGGCGAGGGCTTCCAGAGGCCGGAAATTGTGGGGCGTTGCCAGAAGTACCCGTCAAGGTGCCCCCAGCTTCTCGCTCCAGTTTGGAGCCCCTGGGGCCCTCTGGGCCTCGTGAGTGGTGCTCTGGAGGCCGTGTGGGCTGCCCCGAGAATCCTGGGGGGCACCTTGGCCCAGGGGCACTCCCAGCCACACCCGATTTGAGAAGCTCCTGAAAACAGCCCGTCCTCGTTTCGTCGCGACGCGAGGGCCTCTGGGAGGAAGCCAACGAATCCCTCCCGGAACCATCGCGGGGCGCGTCCCGACCAGCATTCCACTCGGGTCCGGCCGTGGCGGCGAGGAATTCCCCAGAGGCGCAAAGAGAGAGAGAAAGGAAAACACACACAAAAAAACAAAAAACAAAAAAAAAAAAAAAAAAAAAAAAAAAAACTCGAAGCCCGAACCTCAAAGTCCAAGCCTGCGCGGGGGGCACCACCCCACGGACCCAGACCCCCGACGTCCTGATGTCTTCATCGCGTGGACCCCGAGAGGTCTCGACCCACATCCCCAGGACAGGCTTTTCATTCGTTGTTTCGTAGAAGTTCTCCAGGCCTGGCGAGGGCCCCCCGAAGCCGAACATGGCCCAAAAACAACCTGTCCGGTGATTTTGACGCGACGCGAAGGGGTTTGGGAGAAAATCGAAAACCCCCCTGGACACATCTCGGGGTGCGTTCTAACCGGAATTCCGATGCGGACTTAGTCGTCGCGACGAGGAACTCCCGAGAGGCGCAAAAAAAAAACAACAACAACGAAGCTCGAAGTTCGAACCTCCCCAGACATTCGATATTTTGATGTTTTACATGCGCGGTCCCCAGAATCCCCGACTCTCCCCAGGGATGAAGTTTCATGCCGAGTTGCCCTCTGACGGTCCCAGGGCCGGGCAAGGGCCTCCAGAAGCCAGAAGACGCCAAAAACCGTCCGCCCTGGTTGTGTGTTGCCAGGCGAGGGGGTCTGGAAGAAGGAGGAGAAGGAGGAGGAGGAGGAGAAGGAGGAGGAAGAGGAGGAGGAGGAGGGGGAGAAGGAGGAGAAGGAGGAGGAGGAGGAGGAGGAAGAGGATGGGGAAAAGATCAAAAACCCCTCCCGGACCCATCGTGGGGTGCGTCCCGACCAGGACCTCGATGCGGATCTGGAGGCGCAAAACAAACAGACAGAAAAACACAGCCCCTCCTCGTCCTCCTCCTCCTGCTCCTCCTCCTCCTCCTCCTCCTCCTCCTCCTCCTCCTCCTCCTCCTCCTCCTCCTCCTCCTCCTCCTGCTCCTGCTCCTCCTCCTCCTCCTCCTCCTCCTCCTCCTCCTCCTCCTCCCCTCGGACTTGTTCTTGATGCGGCAACGGCCCGACCACGGGCCAAAGCAGGCCGAAACCGAGGAAAAGCGCAGGGCTGAAGAGATCACACTGTCGGAGGTCTGGGAAGCTCGAACCTTCCCAGGCGTTCGATGTCTTGATGTTGCTCACTACGCGGTCCCCAGGAGCCCCGACCCTTCCCAAAAGCCGGTCTTTCCTCCCGAGTCGTCCTTTGGCGATCCCCGGGCCCAGCGAGGGCCCCCGGAGGCCGAAGACCGCCAAGAGCTCCCATCCTCATCTGATTCACTCGGCTGGAGGCCTGGGTCGACGTCGGAGCTCAGATCTGGGAAGCTCGAACCTCGACGTCCGAGCCGCCGCGAAGGGGGCTGGCGGGGCGCAAAGGGGTCAGGGGGAAGGGGGGAAGACTGCTTAGAAGGAAGCTGCTTCTCAGAAGGCGCGGGCCGCGCGTCTATGGACAAGGGCCGCGCCTGCTGAGAAGCAGGGGTTCGGTCGGGAGAAGTGCGTAGAAACATGAAGCAGCAAGGCGTTGACAGTGGATTGGGTTCCGCCCGCCCCCTGAAGAGGACGGAGAAGGTGAAGCCACTCGATCACTGAAGTAGGAAGGCGCTTAAAGTAGGTTGGAAATCTGGGAATCCAAAAATACCTACTTCAACCAAGAGCCCCCCAAGAGGCCCAAGGGGGCCCCAAGACGCCGCCAAGGAGCCCCAAGAGACCCCCAAGAGGCCCCCAAGAAGCCCCCAAGAGGCCCCAAAGAGGCCCCCAAGAGGCCCCAAAGAGGCCCTATAGAGCGCTCGAGGGCCGGCGGAATGAGCGAAGCGATTCAATACCTACCTCAACGATCGATGGGGTGCGTCTGAAAAAGCCTTCCCCCCTCCCCCCATACCCCCCCTTCTGCGTGTGGCCGATCAACCGTCGTCGTCGTCGTCGTCGTCGTCGTCCTCGTCGTCGTCGTCGTCGTCGTCGTTGTCGTCGTCGTCGTCGTCGTCCTCCTCCTCCTCCTCCTCCTCCTCGGCGTCGTCGTCCTCCTCGACGTCGTCGTCGTCGGCATCGTCGTCGGCGTCGGCGTCGGCGTCGGCGTCGGCGTCGGCGTCTGCGGCGGGCTCACCCCTGCGAGTGGCCGCAGGGTCAGGTCGGGCATGTCCTCCTACAGGCGGATTTGGGAAAAAGACTACAAAGAGCCAAAAAAACATATCCAAATTTGTCTCTACGTTTTAAGAAGATCCTCCCCTGACTCTTGTCTGACTAGTGACTACTCCTCCTGTCGAGGGACGTGCCCGGCTCCACCGCACGGGTGGGCCCCGCCCCGCGGCGGCGGCCAGGCCGCCTGGCGGCAGGCCGACGGCGATCGGCCGCCTCCGCGCCCGGCTGAGCCAGCCCTTCGCTGGCGGCCTCGGGCGGCCGGGCGCCGGCCGCGCGGGCGGCGGCGCAAGGCCGGGCGGGCGGCAGGAAGCGCCCAAGGACTGCGCAGGAGGCCTCCAGTGAAGGGGCCCTGTGACACACAAATAAATACACACAAATGAAAAGAATCCCCATATTTTCCCATATCTTCTGGGCTTCTGTCTTCCCCCCCACTGCCCATATTTTCCCATCTTTTCCTGGGAGTGAACGATGAATTGTGTCTGTGTGTTTTTTCCCTCCTGATCCAAGATGGCCCCAGGACTGCCCAAGAGGTCCCCAAGGCGGCCCCGAGAGGGCCCCAGGACGGCCCATGAGGCTTCGAAGACGCCCCAAGGGAAGTCTCCAAGACGGCCCCGGAACACACCAAGAGGGCCCCGAGTCGGCCCAGAGAGGCTTCCAAGACGGCTTCCGACGGCGTCAGACGGGCCAGGAGCCCACCAAGACGGCCCAAGATGGCTCGAAGATGGCCCAAGAGGGCCCTCGCAGTGGTCGTCGTGGTCGTAGTCGCGGTCGCAGTGGTCGCAGTGGTCGTAGTCGCCGTGGTCGTAGTCGCTGTGGTCGTAGGGCCACCCCCCCCCGAGGCGTCGTCGTGGTCGTAGTCGCCGTCGTGGCAGGCATCCTCTTCGTCGCCGGCCGGGGCGGGGCCGTCGTAGGGAGCCGCCGCTGGGGGTGCGGCTCGAGAGAAGGAACTGGTCCCAGGGAAAGGGGTTGGGACTTCCGGGGGCCCCGCGCTGAAGAAAGCAGGACATCGCGCGTCTGGGTTTGAATGACTGCGGGGGTGCCACAGAAGAAGCGAGGATTTACGTGGATGCGAGGGTGGCGTTCATATATCTATATATATATATGCATATATACATATATACACAACTAGATGTATATATACATATATATATATATATATCGTACAAACATGCACGCATGCACACATATACATAAACACCAATATACACATACATACATACATGCATATATCTTACATATATACATGCATACATACATACATACATACATACATACATACATTCATTCATACATACATACATACATGCATGCATGCATGCATGCATGCATACATACATGTATACGTACGTACGCACCTATACGCATCCGTGCATGCATGCATGCATGCATCCATACATACACATACACACATACACACATGCACATGTGCCCACATACAAACATACACGCATACAGACATGCACACATACACGTATACATACATACAAACATCCATGCATACATACATATATACATACATGCATGCATGCACGCACGCACGCACACACACACACACAGACATACATACATACATACATGCATGCATGCATACATACATACAAACATACATACATACATGCATGCATGCATACATACATGTTACAGACATCATACATGCATATTTGTATAGCGGTATATATAGTATGCTTATACGTCTATATAGATACAGATGTGCGGCCTAGCATAGCCTGTAAGTATATTCGAAGTACCCTGAGTGGCTTGAGATCTGCACCAAGTGGGCTGCGCCCACTTAGCGGAGTTATCGAACCCACCCAAGCCAATTAGGGCGCTTGTAAGCCGCTTATGAGTTAGTTGAATCGGATATAACCCACCTTAGCATCCACCTGTAACCCACCTATCCCCTGAGCAAGCCCCTGCGGTCATCCCAGCGTGGCGCCATGGGACCCTCAAAGATCGACGAAGAATGTGCCCAGAGATTTCTGATGGCAAAGTCCCTCATCGTGCGCCTCTGCTGTAGGCTGGTGGCGTCAGGGAACCCTGGCCCGCTGGAGGCGGGGACATGCCCGGCGATGCCGAAGAGGGGGTGAGGGCCCCGCGGCTCGCGAGGGCGGAGCGGGCGCCCGCCCCAGAAAGACCCCGAGACGGCTGCGCAACCCCTAATCAACAACTACTACTGCCCATCATCGTCGTCAACAGCAACATCATCGTCTCGCCACCATCATCCACAACATCAACCTCAACAACATCATCAGCATCATCACCACCATCATCATCGTTGCATGGTCATCGACCCCTAGCCAAAAAGCACGAATGCCCATGTTGGACATGCGGTCGGGCACTTTGGGATGGCACGTCGCCGCGGCGGCCCAGGCGACACGCTATGCCTTGCGAGCGGATAACTCCATGCCCCCGGTGATCACCGGGTGGGATCATCCCTGGCAACTCGCATACACGGATGCACGGCGCACGGAAGCACGATGCACGAAAAGTATTACTCGGTACTCGTAGTCGTAGTCGTTGAAATAAGAATAATCGTAGTCGTAGTCGTAGTCGTAGTCGTAGTCGTAGTCGTAGAGTACAGGAAATAATAGAAGGGAAAGGAGTATTAGTAGGAGTAGTGGCAGTAGTAGTGTGAAACTAGCACTAGTTGTTGGAGTAGTGGTGTTAGTAATGATAGTAGTAGTAGTAGTAGTAGTAGTAGTAGTAGTAGTAGTAGTAGTAGTAGTAGTAGTAGTCGTGGTAGTAGTACTACTACTAGTACTACTAGTAGTGGTAGTAGTAGTAGCAGTCGTAGTCGTAGCCGTAGTCGTAGTAGTAGAAGTAGTAGTAGTAGTAGTTGTAGTAGTAGTAGCAGCAGTAGTAGTAGTAGTAGTAGTAGTAATAGTAGTAGTAGTAGTAGTAGTCGTCGTACTCGTAGTCGTAGTCGTAGTCGTAGTAGTAGTAGTAGTAGTAGTAGTAGTAGTAGTAGTAGTAGTAGTAGTAGTAGTAGTAGTAGTAGTAGTAGTAGCATCAGTACTCATAGTGGTAGTAGTAGTAATGGAGTAGTACGACGAATAGTTGTTGCAGTAGTAGTAGTAGTAGTAGTAATAGTAGTAGTAGTCGCAGCAGTGAGAAATAGTAGTAGTTGTCCTTGTAGTAGCTGTAGTAGTTGTCACAGTTGTAGTGGCAGCAATCGTGTCGTGATCGTAGAAAACGATAGTAGTAGTAGAAAAAAACAAATGAAAATAGTAGTAGTAGTAGTAGAAGTAGTCGTCGTAAAAGTAGTAGTTCGACGCGAATAGTAATAGTCGTAGTAGTAGTAGTAGTAATACTAGTAGCGGTGGTGGTAGTAGTAGTAGTAAGAAACATAACAGTGGCAGTAGCACCAGCAGCAGTTGTTGCACGAGTAGAAGCAGTAATTGTAATCATAATAATTGTAGAGGGACTGGTAGTAGTAGTAGTAGTGGTAGTAGAGGTAGTAGTAATGGTCGGACGTGCTGGTAGAGACGGATGTATTGTCAGTCGTAGCAGTAGAAGCTGGAGTAGTAGTAGTGGTAGTAGTAGTAGTAGTCGTAGTAGTAGTAGTAGTAGTAGTAGTACGAGTGGTAGCCGTAGTAGTAAAGTACAACTCGTGGTAGCAGCAGCAGTACTGGTCGTTATAATCGGGGCAGTAGTAGCAGTCGTGCTAGTAGCCGTCGTCGTGGTAGTACTAGTAGTGGTAGTAATAGTGATGGTAGCAGTAGTGGTAGTAGTAGTAGTAGTAGTAGTAGTAGTAGTAGTAGTAGTAGATATAGTAGTAGTGGTGGTGGGAGCTGTAGTGAAAAGAAAATTGAAATAGTAAAAGTAATGATGCCTATAGCAGTAGTGGTAGTAGCCATAGTAATGACATTCGTAGTAGTAGTAGTAGTAGTAGTAGTAGTAGTAGTAGTAGTAGTAGTAGTAGTAGTAGTAGTAGTAGTAGTAGTAGTAGTGGTAGTGGTAGTGGTAGTGGTAGTAGTGGTGGCAGTAGTGGTAGTACTACAAAGTGATGATAGTAATAGTAGTAGTAGTAATAGTAGTAGTAGTAGTAACACTTGTGGTAGTAGTAGTAGTATCAGTAGTACTAGTAGTTGTAGTCGTCGTCGTAGTAATAATGGGAGTGGTAAGTGTAGTAATACGAATAGTAGTAAGAGTAGTAGTAGTAGTACTACTACTACTTCTACTACTACAACTACTACTACTACTACTACTACTACTACTACTAGTAATTATCGTAGTAGTAGTAGTAGTAGTGGTAGTGTAAGTCGTAGGAGTATTAGTAGTAGTAGTAGTCGTAGTGATAGTAGTGGTAGTAGTAGTAGTAGTAGTAGAAGTAATAACGTTGGTGGTGGTAGTAAAAATGGTAGCAGTGATAGCCACAAAAGTATGCAATAAAAGGTGGAGCCGTAGTCGTAGAAGTAGTATATTAATCATGTGAAGGAAATAATACTAGTACTGCTAATACGAGGATTGGTAATGATAGTAGTAGTAGTAGTAGTAGTAGTAGTAGTGGTAGTAGTAGTAGTAACAACAGTAGTAGCAACAGTAGTAGTAGGAGTAGTAGTCGTGGTTGTAATAATAACAATAGTAGAAATAATGACAACAGCAGTCGTAGTAGCCACAATAATCATAGTAGAAGGAGAAGTACTAGCAGTAGTACTAGAAGTAGTAGTGGTAGCAGTAGTAGTAGTATCAGGATCAGTAGGGGTAGTATTTGTTGTTGTAGTGATAGTAGTAATAGTGATCGGATGTGGGATGTATACTACGCTACTCAATATAATGGTACTGCGACTCGTCGTAAGAACAGTCAGTATACGATTGGCACTTTACCTTGTGATAATGAAATTCGGACCCGCCGCTCCCCACTGCCGACCAAAACTGTCTTGGCCGGAGATAATCATGAGGTTGGTGGGAAGGGGGGCGATGCTTCGTTATCGGGGGCATGCGGTTGGCATGTCGCTCCGCTCCGCGGGGCGGGAGACTCGGAAAGGCTCGGGACCAAGGTGCCTGGGGAGCCAGGAAGTAAATAAAATGTCACACCGAAGCGTGGTGGGCCAGAACCCGCGGAACAACACGCTGTCCAAAAGTTCCCGACCGTACGGGGGGGCGCTGGGAAGGGGCATGCCTCTCCTTAACGAAGACCTTGCCCCGAATTGTGGCCGCCACGATCGCCACGACGACCTCCAAAACCGACCCAGAGGATTTAGTTCGGGGCAGATATCACGCAACGATGAGATCCCCAGACCCCCTCGCGTCGTACAAAAATTGCGGCGAAAGGTTTTTTGATATTGTCGGCCTCCTGGGGGGACATCCGGGCCTCTAAACCATCAAAAAGAGACTCGGGATAAAAAGCCGAACCTGGGGAAGTGGTCGAGATCTCTGGGGGTCTACGTTGCGAAAAGACACGGCATCGGGGATCGACGATCGTGGCATCGCATTTGTGGTTCACGCTTTTCGTCTTCGCCCAGATTTGGACCTCGGGGCCCTCACGGATCGATCCAGCTCAAGAGAAGCCGCAGAAACAAATGGGACAAATCCTGTCGCACTGTTGGGCGATGTCGCAATATGTTCATGACGTCAGATCTCAGGGTGGGCTGGACCAGCAAGCCTCCAGAAGCCGACCATGGCGACAAAGCAGCATTAAGAGGCCAAAGATGGCGACAGGCCAGCCTCCAAAGGCCAACAGTGGCGACAAACTGGCTTCTGGCCACCAAAGATGACGACAAGCTGGCCTACAGAGGCCACAAGTGGCCTCCAACCGACGCCAAAGCTGGCGACAAGCTGGCCTCCATGGGCCAACAAACGGAGACAAGCCAGTCCGCCTCGAAGTGCTGTAACTCGACGCAGGTCTTCTCCGATCCTTCACAGCCTGCTGCACATGGGCGCCCAAAGCCGCAACACCGCCTTGGTGCATCCGCGTCTTCACAGACCGCACGGGTCGGTGGCCCAGAGATGCGATGTACCGATTTCTCCTCTGCAGGGGGGCCTCCAGAAGGTCCCAGCCCTTTTCCCGGGACAGGCTTGTCATGTCGGCTACAAGCAAGAGTAACCCTAGGCCAAGAGTGACCTTTGGTGCGCGGACCAAGGGGCCCTTCGGGGGCGCCACCAGGCGCGCAAGCAGCTGCCGTCGCATCGCACTCAGCGATCGGGGGCCCCATCGGGCCCGCACTCCGGCGAAAAGTCACTTGCACGTGTAGCCGAATTTGGAGTCCTTCGCTGGCGGTCCCGGGACCTGGCGAGGGGCCGCCCGACGCCGAGACAACGAAGCAGGGCACCCGACCTGACCTTCCGAGCACGCCAGAGGCCTTGGGAGGTGGACGCGCGGCCGGGCGCGCGCTTTTTGTTGCTGGCGCGCCCCCACGACGTCACAGCTCCGTGGACTCGGCCTCCGCGAGTGGCGCTCGTCCCCCAGGTGGCGAGGTGGTGATCGACAAGCGCCAGGCCCCCGCTCGTGGAGGCGGGGTCCTACGGTACCCCGTGAAAAAGAGGGAGGAGGAGGAGGAGAAGAGAGGGAGAACTCTGCCATCCCCCCCTCCCTATCCTCCTCCCCCTCCTCCTCCTCCTCCTCCTCCTCCTCCTCCTCCTCCTCTTCCTCCTCCTCATCATCATCAGCAGCAGCATCATCATCAGCAGCATCATCATAAGAATCATCATCAGCAGCAGCATCGTCATCAATATCATCATCATCACCAACACCACCACCACCACCACCACCATCATCATCATCATCATCATCATCATCATCATCATCATCAGCATCAGCATCAGCATCATGATCATCATCATCATCATCATCATCATCATCATCATCATCATCATCATCATCATCATCATCATCATCATCATCATCATCATCATCATCATCATCATCATCATCATCATCATCATCATCATCATCATCTGGTCCCCTGCTCACCGCTCACTGCGACATCGCAGGCGTTGCATGAAGGCGCCAAGGAGGAGCCGTCTGGGGTGGAAACGCCCCTATCTTCGCGCCCAGAGCGCATGAATGTCTCAGGAGGTTTGCTTGTTTCGGCCCCCAGATTTCTCCCGTTTGGTGGTCCAATGCCCACAGCCGTATCAGAGGTGCGGCACCAACGACCCCCAAGGAGGAGCCGACAGGAATGGGGCCGCAGCCCCTGCTGCTAGCGCTAACGCACAGTGCGCTCGACGCCGCATCAAGGCTGCCGCGGTGCCCAATCGATATGCGTCTGGACTCCGACCCACCATCCCCGCCCCAAGCCCGCTCCGCCGCTCCCCCCCCGCCCAACTGCCTCACACGAGTTGCCGGAGGCGCACAACTGCTTCTCCCGAGTGTCGAGCCGGGCTATAGTCTCGCCACGGCGGGGCGGGAACCACCGGACCTGGATGGGACTGGCGCGCTACCCCCAGGCCGCTCGGGCCCTGGATCCAGAAATCTGCATCAACCCCTGTCGGGCCTGGTCTCTGGAATCTCCCATGCCAACGCTTCCGCGGGTTCCAGAGAACCGCGGCAAACGTGAACTCTGAATCCGAAACTGGCTATGGCGCAAGGCAAAAAGCCAAAACTTCGTCTCGGGGGGCAGTCTAGAATTTGCCCACCCGGGAGAGGGGGCCAAGCGCCTCTCCAATCAACCACCGCCAGCCTTCGTTCTGGGCGAAGAATTGAATTGCTTATCCGCAACGCCGCCTTCTCGAATCGCCCGAGCGCTTGCCCTCCAGCAGCCTCCAGTCATAATGGTACTGCCGGCCTTGGTGCATTTTCAGCGAGGCCGACTCGACAACAGCCACTGCTGACGGCGTCGACGAAATCCCCGACGGACCCGGGGCGCGCGAGGACCGAAGGCGGCAGGTCCCTCGGCCAGCACAAAAGCTCAGAGCCCATATGCGCCATGGCCTGAAGGATCAGCTCATCGGTCATGTCGAAATCCTCGAGCCCCGTGTTTCTCGCACCCCCACATCCTGGGGCGAAGCGTTTCCTTTGCCGCTTCGCACCGCGGGCAGAGCGGCACGTCGACAGCGCACCCTGCCTTCTCGCGTCTCGCATGCGCCCACTGGCCACCCGCAACCACCGCCAAGTTGAGGGCGCCAGCGCCGGCATCCCCGTCTCGCTGAAACCGCCGCTGCCGTCGTCGAAGACGCCGCAAATCAGTCTCTCATCGACGATGCTCGGTGAGATCCACGCTTGCGTTTGTCCGCCAGGTAGTGACCGCCCTCATTCGGCGGCCTTCAGCGGCGCCCAACCGACGCCCACGAGCGTCGCCTGGATCGTGGCAATGGGCACTTTGACACGCGAACGCCTGCGCATTCCCACCTCGAGAAGTTTGGTCCCGATCTTGGCCCGGGCGAGCATGGCCCGCCAGCGCACCAGAGGGCTCAACTGCCATAAAAAAGTCACCCCAGCAGCACTCGCTTCCGCAACTCGAGCCCTGGCCCCCTGTCCCACATGTCGACTGCCAACGCCGTCGCCAAACATCTGCCGCCTCGACTGCCGGCTGCAAGCTGACCAGCTCGTCGACGTAGGAGCTGAAGTCGACAAGGAAGCAAACCGAAGGCCTGCTGGCCACGTGAGGCTCGTGGAAGGGTCACTGCGTTCCACAAGCCTCTGGACCCCTCAGCCACGGTCGCTGACCGACGCGGCTTCTTCTTGCGCGTGAATCGCGCCTTCGCCTTCTTGCACCGGTGCTTTGAGAACTTCACTACCCGCTTCCGTCCTGCGCCAGCGTGAATGCCGAGATCCCTGCTATCGTGCAATGCCTGGACTGGCACTTACCGTCGTCGGAAAGTCGCCGCCGCGGTCTCGACCATGTCCTTCGAGGCGCCGACGAGCATAATCTTGTCTGAGTTCTCAAGCTGCCGCCTGCCCATATGTCGCGCCATCTGGAGGGCCCCTTCTCACATGTCGTTGGGCGCTTGCTCCTTGGAAGCATCGTCAACATATGCCCATGACCCACCCACGGGCTACCACGGGGGGGTCGGGCGGGGGAAGACCTTCGCGAGCGCGACTCCTCGACGGGGAGCCATCGAAGATGAGAGTCGGGTCGACCAGATGACACCCCCCGAGCGCTGCCTCCTGCTCGAGGCAGCGGGGCCTCGCGAAGATGGCGACTTCCATCTCCACGACCACCGTGGTGCTTTGTAACTTTCAATGTTCTGAGTACGTTTTCAGAAGGGAAGAGCGCCTTGCCAAAGTTGCTTGATGCATTGTCAATGTTGCGCGCTACCTGATTGCATGGACGTCTCGAGCGGTTTGCTTGACATTGACATGTAGGGGGCAAGGGGGGGGGGGGAACGTCGAGATCTTGACGCAGTCCACCTCCACTGCGATGCCCATGGGGAGGACGAGGCTCGCGCTGCCGTAGAACATCTCGACGCGCTCGAGCAGGACGAGGCCGGCGGCGCCGAGGGCGCGGCCTGCCTCATCGAGGCACGCCCTCGCCAGCCCCGCTGATCAGGCCGAGCTGCCCTCGATCTCCGTGCCCCAGTGCTCACTGAGGCCGTCACTCCATGAAGCGGGTGGCGAAGCTCGCACTCTGGGCGACAATTTAATCGCAAGTGGGAGCATGCCGAGAACTCGTTCGCCACCAGCCAATTTCGGGGGCGAGCGCCCCCAGCGTCGCGCACCACCTGCCTCGGCCATGCCCCCGCCTGCTCGCTGTGGTTGGTGATGTGGAGTAGACGCTGGCGCGCCTCCTATGGGAGGCGCTTGATGTCGTGCAACTTGAGGCAGTCAACTTCGTCCGCCTTAGTAGGGCTCGTGTATCCAATGGTACCTACGAGCTCCTCTATAGCGATGGGTTCGAGCTCCTCCCGTGCTCGAAGGCGTGGCTGTCGAGGTGCCCAAGATGTCCTGCCTGCTCTCCTGGGGGCCCAAAATCGCGGGCAAAATCGTGTCCGAAATCGTGGGCGAAATCGTGTCCGAAATCGCGGGCGAAATCGTGTCGCCGAAATCGTGAGCGGAATCGCGGGCGCAGAATCGCGGGCCGCCTGCCCGTCCAGATGGCTGATCGGAAGCGGGCCCCACACCCTCCCTGACGCGTTTGCGGAGTAGACCGTGCTTACGTTTCCACATCTGCGCAGCCCGTCTGATGAGCTGCTGCCCCTGCGTCGGGAACGCGCGTGCCCCTGCCGTCGCGAGGTGGCGGTCGATCCTCTGCTGTGCGTGTTGGTGCTCCTCGAGCGTGCACGCGCTAGCCTTGACACTCTGCAGCGTGTAATCGCCCGCTTCGTCGTAGTCCGTCTTCCTGCCGTACATGCTATGCAAACCCAACCGCCGCAGCCGATGGTACTGCGTGCCGAAGTTGGGCATTACACGTGTATGCATACATACCTACAGACAGACAGACAGACAGGCAGGCAGACAGACAGACAGACGGACATACATCAAAACGAACAAACGAACAAACAAACAAACAAACAAACAAACAAATAAATAAATAAACAAACAAATGTACATACAGACATACAGACAGACCTACATACATATCTGTGTATGCCTATGATGCTTCAGGGCCGCTTAGTTCGTGCGGAGCGTCACATATCGCGCGAAAAGACAAGATACAATAGACAAATGCTTGGATGGTTGAGATGTCACGCGCTTCGTCCCAAGGTAGTTTTCGCCCGCTGCCATCTTCTCGCAACGGCACTGCAACGCCCACGGTACTCGCCCGCCTCATCTGGGCTGATGCTGTCATTACGGGCGATCGTGTCCTCCAAGGCTGCGACCCAGGCCGCATACTCGCCTGTGCCCGCCTCTTCGAGAAGAGGCTGGCTGGTACCGTGGACAAGGAAGTGCGGTCTGGCTGAGTGCATCTCGTTTGACAACGGTGGCGTCGTAGCCTGCTGCTTCGCCGTGACCCAGGTATTGTAGTCAATCGCGTACTGCACGGCCGATGGAGGTGGGCTGGCCTCTGCCGCATCCCTGATGTCGAACTCCTCCTGAAGGTGAGCTGGTAGTGTTTGCCGCCGTCGCTCTCGTGAGGAAAAAAAGGAGGAGAAGGAGAACGGAGGAGGAGAGGGAGTATAACGGGGAGAGGGAGGAGGAGAAAGGCGAAGGAGGGGGAGGAGGAGGGAGGAGGTCGAGGAGGAGAACGCGCCCCACAGCGGGCACAGTCTGCTGTTGCCAACCGACCGTGCACGGTGCAGCGGGTGCCGCTCCGACGCACGCCCCCGGTCAGGCCTCCCAAGGTCAGACCTCTGCCGCGGGGCGGCCACACCCTGCGCGAAAAGCAGCGCGGCAACACCAACGCCGAAGACGGCGACGGCGACGGCGACGGCGCTGGCGATAACGACGGCGGGGACGACGGCAGCGGCGTTGAAGTGGACGTTGGCAGCGGCGGCGGCGGCGGCGGCGGCGGCGACGGCGACGGCGACGGCGACGGCGACGGCGACAGCAACGGCGACGGCGACGGCGACGGCGGCGGCGACGACGACGACGACGACGACGACGACGACGGCGGCGGCGGCGGCGGCGGCGACAATGACGACGGCAACGGCGGCGACGGCGACGGCGACGGCCACATCGACGGCGATGGCGACTGCGACAGCGACGACGACGGCGACGGCCACGGCGCTGGCGGTAACAACGGCGGGGACGACGACGGCAGCAGCGTTGAAGTCGACGTTGGCGGCGGCGACGGCAACGGCAATGACGACGACGGCACGCCGACGTCGTCGGCGTCGGGGCGGCGGGCGCCGAAGGGCTTCAGGAGGCCTCCCGCGGTCAGGCCTCCTGCCGATCAGGCCTTCGTCGCCGCCAGCATGTGGCCGATCTCCTGCAGCATGGCCCGCCTGGGAGAGGCGCCCGCCGTCCGCCCGCCAGCCATCTCCAGAAGTTTTTGTTGGGGGTGCTCTTGAAAGGCGCTGCAGAGTTGCAGGGCGGATCTTCGTGGCGCTTGTCGTGTTTGTCGAGCCTCCTGGAGGCGCCTCGCCGCCACGGCTGGATGCGCCACGAAGAGCGAGTCAGCATGGACCCCGGAAGGGGCCAGGGGCCCGATTTTGAACAGATCTAGAGATTGATGCCAGGAAGGTGGGAACACACAGGGCTGGATTCACCTGGGGTGCATGCAGCTGGAAGCCACGGGCTGGGTACACGTGCGGAGGCTCGGCGTGTCTCATCATAGAGAGGGTGAGCGCTGGAAAGACCTTGGCCCACATGGGTGACTATCCAGCTCGGGCCCAGGCCAGCCGCGCCAAGCATCCATCTTCCTGGTCCAGTCACAGACCACAGACGTCGTGATTTTTGCCACAACGTCGGCCCACAGAGGTCTCGACCCCTTCCCTGGGACTGGATGTTGATCCCCAATTGTGTTCCCAACCATCCTGTGGTGTTGGGTCCTAGTTAAAGATTAGCAGCGCCCCGCGTCACTCCTCCTCTTCCTTTTCCTCTTCCTCCTCCTCCTCCTCCTCCGCCTCCGCCTCATTATCCTTCTCGTCCTCCTCATTGTTTCCTCCTCCTCCCCATCCTCACCTCCTTCCCCCCATATTCCCTTGTCGTCGCCACTGACATCATCAGCACCAGCATCGTCGTCATCATCCTCGTCATTATCATCATCATCATCATCATCATCATCATCATCATCATCATCATCATCATCATCATCATCACAACCATCAGCAGCATCACCCACCATCCTCATCATCATCACCCATCAGCATCATCATCATCATCTTCATCATCATCATCATCATCATTATCATCATCATCATCACCATCAGCAGCATCAGCATCATCATCATCATCATCATCAGCAGCAGCATCATCATCAGCATCATCATAATCAGCAGCAGCAACAGCATGATCAGCAGCATCATCATCATCACCGTCAGCATCAGCATCATCATCAGCAGCATCATGGTCATCATCATCATCATCATCAGCAGCAGCATCATCAGCATCAGCACCATCCCCGATCGTCAGCATTATCAGCAGCATCAGCAGCAGCAGCATCATCATCATCACCAAAATCATCAGCACCATCATCATCAGCAGGAGCATCATCATCATGATCAGCATCATGATCAGCATCATGATCATCATCATGATCAGCATCAGCAGCATCATCATCGTCACCAACATCATCAGAATCAGTATCGTCGTTATCGTTACCATCATCATCATCATCATCATCAGCAGCAGCATCATCAGCATCATAATAACAAACACCACTACCATCATGATCAGCAGCATCTTCATCGCCATCGTTATCATCACCATCAGCAGCATCAGCATCGTCATCAGCATCACCACGAGCAGCATCATCATCATCATCATCATCATCAGCAGCAGCATCAGCATCATCATGGTCATCATCATCATCATCATCAGCAGCAGCATCATCAGCATCAGCACCATCCCCGATCGTCAGCATTATCAGCAGCATCAGCAGCAGCAGCATCATCATCATCACCAAAATCATCAGCACCATCATCATCAGCAGGAGCATCATCATCATGATCAGCATCATGATCAGCATCATGATCATCATCATGATCAGCATCAGCAGCATCATCATCGTCACCAACATCATCAGAATCAGTATCGTCGTTATCGTTACCATCATCATCATCATCATCATCAGCAGCAGCATCATCAGCATCATAATAACAAACACCACTACCATCATGATCAGCAGCATCTTCATCGCCATCGTTATCATCACCATCAGCAGCATCAGCATCGTCATCAGCATCACCACGAGCAGCATCATCATCATCATCAGCAGCAGCATCAGCATCATCATGGTCAGCATCATCATCAGCAGCATCATCAGCATCAGCACCATCCCCGATCATCATCATCATCATCAGCAGCATCAGCAGCAGCAGCATCATCACCATAATCATCAGCACCATCATCATCAGCAGAAGCATCATCATAATCATGATCAGCATCATCATCATCATCATCATCAGCAGCATCATCATCGTCACCATCGTCATCAGCATCATCAGCATCATAATCATCGTCGCCGTCAGTATCAGAATCATCATCGTCGTTATCGTCACCATCGTCATCATCAGCATCATTAGCATCATCATGACAAACACCAGTACCATCATGATCAGCAGCATCAGCATCATCGTGATCGGTATCATCACCATCAGCAGCATCAGCATCAGCATCAGCATCATCATGAGCATTATCATCATCATCATCATCATCATCATCATCATCATCATCATCATCATCATCATCACCATCATCATCAGCAGCAGCATCATCAGCAGCAGCAGTACCGCTATCACCGTAATCAACGTGACCATCATCATCAGCTACATCAACAGCAATCGCATCAGCGTCAGCATCATCGTCAACACCAGCAGTATCAGTATCAGACGTATTATCGCCAACATCACCATCGTCCTCCTGCTACTCCTCCTTCTCCTCCTCTTCCTCCTCCTCATCATCCTCCTCCTGTCCCAGACCCCCTCGCGCCTTGAAAAGACAGGGCGGGCGGTTTTTTTTACTTGTTCGACCTCTGCGTGGGGCCCTTGCCGGGCCCTGGGAGCGTCAAGAAAACTCCTCGGGAGGAAAAACACGTCCCGGGGAAGGAGTCAAGACCTCGGGGGGTCCACCTCACAATTGTTGCATATACTTTCGAATCACTGTATATAATGTGTATATATACACAGATATTAATAAAATTTAAAATTGACGTCTGGGGTCTGGGACGACGCCCGCCCTCGAGAAGGACATCCGCTCTGGCCCAGACCGCAGCGCACGAAGCGCGAAGACTTTCGCGCCCTCTGGGGGGTGCCCTGGACTTCCGGCCTCCCGCCCAGGAGCGCGTGGGCACAGATCCCTGGGCCAGGGGTCGGCGTGGCCCAGGGCTCCATAGTCTGCCCGCGGAGTGTTGACCGATCCCGTCCTTGCCCAGAAGATCCTTCACCCCAGCTTGTACGCATGACCGCATATGCAGCAACACGCTCCTCGCTGCTTCCGAGCCAGTTGTCTCCAAGGGATCGTGGCCCCAGGAGCGCGGACCCATTGCACGTTCAGCGCATCGCTTGACTACGGAACGAACAATGACAGAAAGAAGAATTGTAGGTCCGCGCAGACCTCCGAGTTCTTGCGTTTATGTCCTTGTTCGTTCCCCTAGTGACATCCGCACAGGGTCTCGGAGTGGGGCGAGTTGAGACGACGGCAGATCAAGACAAGTCCCCGGACAACTCCCCGGGGTCCAGACGCCCAAAAATTGTCCAAGCTGCGTCCAGCCATTGCGCCGAGGGGGGCCCCCGAAGGTCGCTAAGGAGGAGGAGGGGGAGGAGCAGGAGGAGGAGGAGGACGACGACGACGACGAGGAGGAAGAGGAGGAGGAGTAGGAGGAGGAGGACGAGCAGGAGGAGAAGGAGAAGAAGGAGGAGGAGAAGAGGAGGAGGCGAAAGAGGAGGACAAGGAGCAGGAGGAGGAGCAGGAGGAGGAGGAGGAGGAGGAGGGGGGAGGAGGAGGGGGAGGAGCAGGAGGGGAAGGGAGGACGACGACGACGCGAGGAGGAAGAGGGAGGAGGAGGAGTAGGAGGAAGGACGGCAGGAGGCGAAGGAGGCGAAGGAGCGAAGGAGGAGGAGGGAGAAGAGGAGGAGAAGAGGAGGACGAGAGCAGAGGGAGGAGGAGAGGAGGAGATGGAGGAGGAGGAGAGAGGAGGAGGAGGGAGGAGGAGGAGGAGGAGAGGGAGGAGGATCAGGAGAGGAGGAGGAGGACAGGAGGAGGAGGAGGAGGCCAACGAATTACCGCTGTCTCAGCTCGCCCTCGGAGGATGGGTGGGGGCGGGCGATCTGCTGGCGTCCCCCAGCCGCCCACGCTCGCCCCTGGACACCGGCCGCACGTCGATGCACGTCACGTTCGTGCGGGGCTCGCCTGGAGGGGAAGAGGAGGAGGAGGAGGAGGCGGAGGAGGAGGAGGAGGAGGAAGAGGAGGAGGAGGAGGAGGAGGAGGAGGAGGAGGAGGGAAGAGGGGGCGGAGGAGGAGGAGGAGGAGGAGGAGGAGGAGGAGGAGGAGGACCACGTCTAAGACTCCACGCGGAAACACCGTGCCGATCTAGGTCTCGGCGGCGAGCGAGGGGGGGGAAACTGAGAAGGAGAAGGCCTTCTCAGAAGGCTCGGAGGTCCTCCGGGCTTTCTGAGAAGTCTTCTGAGCCTTCCCCGAAGACAAAAAAACTTCTGAGAAGTGCCGCCGCCTTCCGAGAATGGCCTTCTCCTTCTCACTTCCCCCACTCGCTCGACGCCAAACAACGGGGACCACGGCTAAGACTTAACACGGAAATGCCGTGCCGATCTTGGTCAGCGTCAGATCGTGGATCGTCCTCGCGAACAGGCGACGGCCGGCATGGAACATGACCAAGACAGGCGTCGACAGAAGAAGAAAAACGGCATAGACAGAAACGTTCGACAGTCCGCCAGGGCGGCGGCGCCGGACGCGTCGCCAGGAGGGGCCGGCGCCGATCCGAGAAATCCGCGAGGAGCGTCGAAAGTTTATGTGCATACAGTTTGTTATTCTTCGAATCGACAAGAGTCAGTTGCTTCACCCATGCGTCGATGCTGCGTCGACTGTCGGTCGACTTGAGTCGAACTTGAGCCAAAAACGAGTCGAACTTCAGTCGACGCAGTCGAACTGGAGTCGAAGTTGTGGTGTTCCCTCGATCGCCGCAGGAGGCCGACGCGGAGACGAAGCGGGGAGAACGCAAGTGCCGACGTGGAGAGGAGCGAAGCAAAGGAATGGAGAGACGGAGTGTGGGCCCAGGGATGGCTGGCTCCGCCCCCTGACCACATGATTCCCGCACCTTGCGCGAAGCCCCAGCCCCGCGACGACCATACTGACAGGCCCAGCCCCCCTGCAACCGTGCGTCAGCCTACCACCATGACCAACACCAGCGCCCACTCGGATCCCTCGGTCAGTTAGGCGGTCCCTCGGTCGCCATTGTAGTAGTCGTACTTCGCTCGCACCGTCAGCTGCACGGGCTCCAGCATGTAGGCCCGACGGATGGCCGCCTCAACGGCCTCCAGGGCAGTGCCAAGGGAAGTCACCACTGGGAGGCCCTCAACCGCCTCCTCCTCCTCCTCCTCATTCTCCTCTTCTTCCTCCTCCTCCTCCTCCTCCTCCTGCTCCTCCTCCTCCTGCTCCTCCTCCTCCTCCTCCCTCTGCCTCCCTCCTTCCTCCTCCTCCGCCTCCTCCCTCCTCCTCCTCCTCCTCCTCCTCCTCTCCTCCTCCTCCTCCCTCCTCCTCCTCCTCCTCCTCCTCCTCCTCCTCCTTCTCCTCCTCCTCCTCCATTCCTTTTCCATATATATAGAGATATATATATATATGTACAAAAAAAACTCCCCGTCGCATCATGAGGCAAGTTTTCAGGGCGGGCCAGGCGTTTCGCCTGAGACTTCCTCACCATTTATAACCCTGAAGCTTAAAACTTGGCAACATTTTCACAGATGGAGGGCGGGTGGTTTTCAAAATGTGGCTTTCGCCTCAGCGCCAAGCACATTCGTTTTGAAAAATTGCAGGGGGGTCACGGGTTGTAGGCGACCCGTTTTCAAAATGTGGCTCTCGCCTTAGCGCCGCGCACATTCTTTTAACAGACTGCAGCAGCTTCACAGATGGAAGGCGGGTGGTTTTCAAAGTATCGCTCCCGCCTTAGCGCCGTGCACATTCGTTTAAAAAAATTGCAAGGGTTTCACGGATTGAGGGCGACCCGACCCGTTTTCAAAATGTGACTCTAGCCTTAGCGCCGCGCAGATTCGTTTCAAAAATTTGCTAGAGCTTCACGGAACGAGGGCGGCTCCTTTTCAAAATCTGGCTCCCGCCTGAGCGCCGCGCATATTCATGTATAGATCTATCCGAGTTTCACGGATTCCCTGGATCAAAATATCAAAAATTGTGGTTTGGACGGATTCCGCATTATCCGGGCACAACAGTTACATTGATTCGCGGTTTTGAGGTCCCAAGAACGGAATTCCGTCACGATTCAGGATCGTCAAAACGGAACGGTCAGGTTGATCCGTGGCGTTGGAATCCCGAGAACAATGTTTTGGCATGCATCAGGGTCTTCAAGCGGCTGTCTTGCAACGAGGCAGTTCCCTCAATGGAAATTAACAGTTGTAGGGGCCTATGAAGAGGGAGCTTGGAGGGAGGGTTTATTCCAACATCGTTGATGGCTCTTGGGCTTACACTGGTCCGCCTCCTCCTCCTCCTCCTCCTCCTCCTCCTCCTCCTCCTCCTCCTCCTCCTCCTCCTCCTCATCCTTCTCCTTCTCCTCCTCCTCCTAAACGGAGCATGCGTGGAGCCCGCACGTAGCGCGACCAATCAGGGCCGCCGTGGGGAGGGTGCCAGCACTGGCGGGCGCGACCAAACGGGGCCGCCCAGCCATGGCGTCGCCGCCGAGTCCGCGGGAGCGCTGGCGGATGCACGGCGAACAGACCTGGGTCGAGCCTTTGAGAAGCTCCTCAAAGGAGAAACGGTCCCAGCCTCGGGTGTCGACGAGACCTACCTGGAAGCCGTGGGCTGATTCACTGACCATCGGGAGATCCTGGGGGCAGCCAGTGCAATGACAGAAGATGTCGCGCGCCTCCTCAACCAGGTGGCCGTCGCGGATAGGCCGATCCTGTGGCAATGCTTCGTGCGAGAGGCGCGACGGCAGCTGCAAGAAGCCGGCCTCTCGCCCTGAGCCTGCAGCCGGTGAGACAGTCAACTGGTTGATTGGCCAGGGCCTCAGCGTCGCCACCGTTGGACTCGGCTTAGGATGGCTGGGGCTCTACCCGTGGGCACGGTGGAGCGTGAGGGTAGAACCGTGGTGCCCTTGGGGGGCTCGCCAGCCCGCGGCCCAGACTAAGCGGCCGGGCGTCTTCCGAAGCCTGCGCGGAGCGCAGGCCGCCCTGTGCGGCATAGCCTATCACAGACTGGACTTCCATGCCTTCAGCCTTCAGCCTTCAGCCTTCAGCCTTCAGCCTCCTCCTCCTTCTCCTCCTTCCTACTCCTCCTTCCTTCCTCCTTCCTCCTTCCTCCTTCCTCCTTCCTCCTTCATCCTTCCTCCTTCCTCTTTCCTCCTTCCTCCTCCCTCCTTCCTCCTTCCTCCTTCCTCCTTCCTCCTTCCTCCTCCTTCCTCCCTCCTTCCGTCCCTCCTTCCTTCCCTCCTTCCCTCCTTCCTTCCTTCCTTCCTTCCTTCCCTCCTCTTCCTCCTCCGCCTCCGCCTCCGCCTCCGCCTCCGCTCCGCCTCCTCCTCCTCCTCCACTCCTCCTCCTCCTCCTCCTCCTCCTCCTCTCCTCCTCCTCCTGCCTCCTCCTCTCGCTCCTCCTCCTCCTACTCCTCACTCCTCCTCCTCCTCCTCCTCCTCCTCCTCCTCCTCCTCCTCCTCCTCCTCCTCCTCCTCCTCTACTCCTCCTCCTCCTCCTCCTCCTCCTCCTCCTCCTCCTCCTCCTCCTCCTCCCTCCCTCCTCTCCCTCCTTCCTCCCCTCCTCCTCCTGCCTCCTCCGCCTCCTCCTCCTCCTCCTCCTCCTCCTCCTCCTCCTCTCCTCCTCCTCCTCCTCCTCCTCCTCCCTCCTCCTAGCGGGGGTTGCCACTTCCTCGAGAAAACGCCAGTTCGCCTAGGAGATGGGGCACAGAGCACCCCAGAGCCCCTCAAAACGACCCCTCGCGACCAAAAAAAAATCCTCGGGCATCGATCCTGGAACATCGATACTCAGGAGGAACGTGTGACTGGTGACTGGTGGCCGCCCTTGGCACTGCCCGAGCCTCCCGCCCCTCGCCATCCTCGAGCGCCTTGATCTGCTCGGCGCTCATGCCCACGGCCTTCTGCGAGGCCTCGTGGAAGGTGGTCATCCAGGGGCTGTCCGCGAGGTCGGAGAACTTGCAGCGGAGGGCGAGCCTCGGTGCAGCCTGGCCGAAAGAGAGGAGAAAGAAATCTGCGTAAGCATGAGCTTTCGGACGACCGCGCGGGACTTCTTGGCTCGGCGCTGGGACCCCGCGCCAGGGGCGGCACAAGAGGTGCCGCCCGGTGAGTTCAACGCCGGTTCTAAGGAATCCGCGCGGACCTCCGAAAGTCTATGTTCCTTCCTCGGGCCTTGCCGGCGCGGTTGCAGGCGGCGCAGAAGCCGCTCTCGTCGACGCGGCGGTTGCAGGGGAGCCCGTTGCCCTCCTTTTTAGGGTGCTGCTGGAGGTGCCCCGACCCAAGGCGCCCCCAGGACTTCTGACGAGGCCCCCACGGCCTCCAGAGAGCCCCCTCCCGAGGCCCGGGAGGGCCCCCACGGGCTCCAACATGGAGGCGAAAGACTGAGGGCGCCTTGGGGCCAGGCGCACCTTCATAGAAGAAGAAAAAAGGCCATGAACAGAAATCTGTGGCGCTCCGCGCGGATCTCTTGGATCTGCGCTGGGCCCCGCTCCCTGGCGCGCGGAGCGCGCCGGGGGCAGCGCCGGAGGCGCCGCCAGGGGAGGCCCAGCGCGGATCCGAAATATCCGCGGGGACCTCCGAGTTTATATGTTTATGTCATTCTTTATTCCCCTAGAGAGGCCCTAGAGGGCCCCCACGGGCTCCAACATGGAGGCGAAAGGCCGAAGGCGCCTCGGGGCCAGGAGGAGGAGAAGGAGGAGGAGGAGGAGGGAGGGAGGAGGAGGAGGAGGAGGGAGGAAGAGGAGGAGGAGGCGGAGGACGGAGGAGGAGGAGGAGGAGGAGGAGGAGAAGAGAGGAGGAGGAGAAGGAGGAGAAGGAGGAAGGAGGAGGGAGGAGGAGGGAGGAGGAGGAGGGAGGAGGAGGGAGGAGGAAGGAGGAAGAGGAGGAGGGGAATGGGGGCGGGGCGGCGTACCTTTTCGCAGCCCCCGCTCCTTCGGCTCCTGGCAGCCCATGTAGACGAGAGGCTGCGCCTCGCCCTGCTTCCGCATCTGCACCTCTGCGGCGCTTCGCGCGGGCAGCTCGCGCTCCTCGGCGCCCCGGCGCCGCTCGGAGAGGGGCGAGCGCGGGGGGCACCAGGGTTATGTCGGGCGTGCCCTCCTACAGGGGGATCGTGCACGACAAAAACATTTAAAATATGTCATTATATCTATATATACACATCAAAAACACACCAAAAGAAAACTCAAACAATCGTCCCCCGACTATTGTTCCCCTATGTTTGAATATTCCTCGTGTTGAGGGACAGGCCCGACTTAACACCAGGGGCCCGGGGGCACTGCAAAGCCCAAGCTCTGGCGGAAGTATCGGCGCGCTGCCCCAAGAAACGCCAGCAACGGCGAGGGCCTCGCTCTTCAGAGGAGGCGGTCCGCAGTCACGAGAGGGAGGAGGAGGAGAAGGAGGAAGAGAAGGAGGAGGAGGAGGAGGAGGAGGAGGAGAGGAGGAGGAGGCGGCAGCTTTTGCGCACACATAGAGGTGGAGGAGGAGGTGGAGGAAGTGAAGGAGGCAGCATACATACATACATGCATACATACATACATACATACATACATGCATGCATGCATACATACATACATGCATGCATACATACATACATACATACATACAAACATACATACATGCATACATACATATATACATGCATACTAACATACATACATGCATGCATGCATGCATGCATACAGACATACAGACATACATACATACAGACATGCATACATATATGCATGCATAAATACATATATGTATGCCTACGTAAATGCATGCATGAATGCAAGCATACAGATTTCCGTGCATGCATACATGCATGCATACATACATGCAGACATGCATGTGTACATACATACATGCATGACAGACATACCTGCCATACACACATATGTGCACATGTACATACATACATGCATACATACATGCATGCATGCATACATACACGCATACATACAGACAGGCAGACATCATATAAACAAACATACCTACATACATACATACAAACAAACTAACTAACAAGCCAATACGTGTGTGCATGCATGCAAACATACATGCATACCATATATAAATGTATGCAATCATGCATGCATACGTACATGCATGCATACATGCACGCATGCACGCGCGCATACATATATGCACACAGACATGTAGACGTGCATGCATGCATATATACACACACATGCATTCATGCAAACATATGTATGCATACATATATGGATATCGATATACATGTATACATAAATCCATACATACATGCATATAAATATAAAAAAACATATACACATGCATACATACATACATACATACGTACGTACGTACGTACATACATGCATGCATACACACATACATACATATATACATAGATGCATGCATGCATACATACATACATACTCACGTATATACATACATATATACATGCATGTATACATACATAATGATATGCATATACATATATATGTATGTATGTATGTATGTATGTATGTATGTATGTATGTGTATGTATGTATGTGTGTATATATATGTGTAGATACAAACATATAAACATATATACACGCATGCATACAAACATACGTATATAAATGTCTGCAAATATATAGATATATATATATATACACACATATACATGTATGTATGTGCATTCACGGTAGGGGGCGTTGAACCTTTGGATCAGGAAACCAAGGTCTGGAAGCCACTGGGACTCCAATCGTGGATTGGCCATGAATACCACTGCCGCCCTCATCAGGTAAGGAACCACCCAGGATCTGAAGCCTCCTGGCTACACTGCTTAGCCTGCGCCCCCACCGTATACATATACATGTGTACATTCATATGCATATGTATATGTACAGATACACATACATGTGCATGTGAACGTGTGCGTGCATGTGTGAAATTTTCCACCGCCGGCCAGCGCCCCACCTGGAAGAGCCGGGCCGGGACGGAGAAGACCTTGCCCTGATCGGCGAGGACCTGCTCGGCGTGGCGGCGCAGGTCCGCGAGATCCTCCACCGCAGCCCCGGAGGGGCCCCGCCCGCCGGGGCCCGGGTTCGAGAGCGCCTCTCGGGGGACGTCGGCTGCCCACGCCACCGGTCCTGGCCGAGCCCATCCTGGGCCCAGGATCGGCGAGCACGCCCTCCTTCTCCGCCTCCGCCCTCCTCCTCCTCCTCCTCCTCCTCATCCTCCTCCTCCTCCTCCTCCTCCTCCTCCTCCCCTCCTCCTCCTCCTCTCCTCATCCCCCTCCATCCCGCCTCCGCCTCCGCTCCGCCTCCGCCTCCTCCTCCTCCTCCTCCTCCTCCTCCTCCTCCTCCTCCTCCTCCTCCTCCTCCTCTCCTCCTCCTCCTCCTCCTCCTCCTCCTCCTCCTCCTCCTCCTCCTCCCTCCTCCTCCTCCTCCTCCTCCTCCTCCTCCTCCTCCTCCTCCTCCTCCTCCTCCTCCTCCTCCTCCTCCTCCTCCTCCTCCTCCTCCTCCTCCTCCATCCTCCTCCTCCTCCCTCCTCCTCCTCCTCCTCACTTCATCCCCCTCCTCCGCCTCCGCCTCCTCCTCCTCCTCCTCCTCCTCCTCCTCCCTCATCCGCCTCCTCTCCTCCTCCTCCTCCTCCTCCTCCTCCTCCTCCTCCTCACCCTCCTTCTCCACCCTCCTCCCTCCGCCCTATTAGCTTCGCCAGGGCTCGGGGTGTTGCCAGAGGTGTCCCTGGCCCAGGGATGTCCCCAGGAGCTCGGAGGGGGGCCCTGCGGCCCCCACAGCGTCCCTCGCGAGGACCCGCGGGCCCCCAGGGGCTTCTGGAGGGAGCGACAAGCTGCGGACACCCTGGGGCCAGGGACACCTTCAGTGACCCCCCGAGGGGCGGCAGATACACTCGGAGCAAGGCAAGCTGAGACAATGGCGGCTCAAAATCGGTACACCCTCACACCTCCCTGGGGCTCAGACGCAAGAGGAGAGGGGGAACCGGCCCGAGACGATCCTCAAAAGGGGCGGAGCAGGAGGAGGAGGAGGAGGAGGAGGAGGAGGAGGAGGAGATGGAGGAGGAGGAGGAGAAGGAGGAGGAGGTGGGGGAGGAGGGGGGAGGAGGAGGAGGAGGAGGAGGAGGAGGAGGAAGGAGGGGAGGAGGAGGAAGAGTTTTTTCAGCTCCCAGCCGGGCACGAGCCTTCCCGAAGGCCACCTACCGTTGTCTCAACGTGCCCTCCTCTGATACCTCCTCCTCCTTCTTCTCCTCCTCCTCCTCCTCCTCCTCCTCCTCCTCCTCTCCTCCTCCTCCTCCTCCTCCTCCTCCTCGTTTCCCTCCTCCTCCTCCTCCTCCTCCTCCTCCTCCTCCTCCTCCTCCTCAGATCAGGCCGCTCGGGAGCGGTGAGGTGGTCAGCTGTCGTCCCCCAGGCCTTGACCTCCTTGGCCAAGCCGTCCTTGGACCACCACTGCGCGATCCGCTGCGCGTCTGGCAGCTCGCTGCCGAAGACGAGATCGCCGCCCTCTTCAGGACCAATCAGCATGAACAAGCAATAGAAGTACCCCGAACCCTTTGGGAGGGGACCTAAGTTAGGAGGACAATAACATCAGGGATGGGGGTCTTTTCTGCAGATGTACCGAACCAAACCATCCAGATTCATCACCCCTAATGCGAAGACGGGGACCTCAGGTGAGGCCACGTCTTCATCGTGTTATCAGGGCTGGGGGTCCTTCTGATCTCGATGAAGCACCGAAGCGAGACGCCGGACCAAAATCGGAACGTGCGGCAAACAGCTACGAGAAGAAGTCTCGCTACGAGAGAAACGTTGGCGCACAGTCCTCGCCCAGCCTCGGGGCCCCCCCGGGGCCCCGGGGCCCCCGGGGCCCTCGGAGGATAGGCGACTTCTGTGGGACGCCTGCCGGCGGGCCGACTCCTCACCTGCCGTGCCTGCTGCGCGCCATCGGGCCGGAACGCGTCGGCCAGGAGGGTCGGCATCGAGGCGCATCGGCCGCGCCAGGATGCACGGCAGCGCCTAGCATCCTGGCGCGGCCGATGCGCCTCGGCAGCGGACCGGATCGGATCGGCAGCGGACCAGATCGGATCGGATCGGATCGGCAGCGGACCGGATCGGATCGGCAGCACCGGGGCGCATCGGCAGCGGGCCGGATCGGATCGGACGGATCGAGCTTGGGCGGTGGAAAAACCTTCCTTCTTTAGCAAACCTCCCCTCAGCGACAGCGGCCTGGGACCGAAACCGACGGACCCGGACCCGCAGAAAGGGCGGCCGCGGCGCCCTCTCGCGAAGCGAAAACGGACAATTCCTTAATCGACGCGTCAGGGTAGGCGGTCTATCCACCTCCGAGAGATTCGAGATCGAGAGGCGCTGACGAGGGGCCCTGCCTCGGACAGCGAGGCCTTCGAGATTCGAGAGATTCGAGATCGAGATCGACATTCGAGATTCGAGATCGAGAGATTCGAGATCGAGAGATTCGAGATCGAGAGGGGCCCGGCCTCGGACAGCGAGGCGCTGAGGCCACCGTTCCACTCCTTGTAGGTCACGCCCTTCATCACCTCGGGTGCTCGTTCGCGGGGGGGCCTTCCTGGAGCCGCTCGGCTCCACTCTGCAGGGGCCCTGGGACACACAAGTAAATACACACAAATAACAGGATTTCCCATATTTTCCTACATTTTCTGGATTTTTGTTTTCCCCACCACTTCCCATATTTTCCAATATTTTCCTCGGGATCGACGAGTAATTGTGTCTGTGTGTGTTGTTCCCCTCCTGACACTCGTGCGCCGATGCTGCGCGAAACGACCGTCGTCGACTCAAAACGAACTCGACTCGAACTCTGGCCGAACGCGAGTCGTGCTGGAGCCGAACTGGAGTCGGACTACGTTCGAACTAGAGGTGAACACGAGTCGAACAAATTCGATACGGTGAGGGCGTTGGGCTAGGAAGCATCCAGGGTATGGAGGCTGGTGAAACTCCGATCGTGGACTGACCATGGACATCATCGCCGCCCTCATCGGATAAGGAACCCTCCAAGCTCTGGCGCCTCCTGGGCACATTCATTCATTAAGGAACGCTCCCGCCGTAGGTGGCCCTCGGGAAGGTCCCCAAAACGAACATCCAAATCACCACGACAGGGTTGCCGGCGAAGGCCGAGTCCTCCCGCTGCGCCCGCTCGCCCCACAGGGCGACCACGATGCTGGTGGCGGTGTCGTCGGCCACGGTGACCTTCCTCCTCCTCCTCCTCCTCCTCCTCCTCCTCCTCCTCCTCCTCCTCCTCCTCCTCCTCCTCCTCCTCCTCCTCCTCCTCCTCCTCCTCCTCCTCCTCCTCCTCCTCTCCTCCTCCTCCTCCTCCTCCTCCTCCTCCTCCTCCTCCTCCTCCTCCTCCTCCTCCTCCTCCTCCTCCTCCTCCTCCTCCTCCTCCTCCTCCTCCTCCCCTCCTCCTCCTCCTCCTCCTCCTCCTCCTCCTCCTCCTCCTCCTCCTCCTCCTCCTCCTCCTCCTCCTCCTCCTCCTCCCCTCCACAATCAGACTTGGCATTCCTCCCTCCGCCCCCTCCGGAAAAAAACTGAGGATGTCCTGGCCCAGCCCGCCAACGTCACGACTCAGCACGGCGTGGGTCCAGGGAGGCCTCGGCCCGCGGGGCCCCGGGATGTCTGGGGGCGTCCGGGAGGGGCCCGGGAAGGGGGGGGTCGCGGGTCGTGGCCCGAGGCATGCGCGCGGAAGAGGAGGAGGAGGAGGAGGAGGAGGAGGAGGGCCAGCAGGCGTGCTGAGAGCAGAAGAGGGGGCCATGAGATCGGGGGATCGATCCTGGCCCGGGCAGCGGTCTCCGCGCGCCCACAGTCGTTGCCCTCCTCGTGGAAGCCCCCGAGGAGGGCCCCCAGGAACTGAAAACTGCCAAAGACCGCCCGTCCTGATCCTTGTCGAGACGCCAGGGGGTCCAGGGACCTCTCGCTTGACGAGCTCCTTGCCGTCCTTGGAGGTGAAGGCCACCCTGGGCTGGAAGGCCGTGATGACGCCGCAGAGATCCGCCGTGAAGGGGGGCGGCCGGGACTGCACCTGGACACGAGGAGGAAGGAGGAGAGGGAGGGGTCAAGGAGAGCAGATCGGCTCAGCGGAAGGGAACTTCATGCTCGGCAGCGCCGTCTGGGGCCCAATTGGGCCAGAAGTGTGGAGCTTCACGCTCAAACTGCAATCTTGGCAGCATCTGTATGCCGCTCTGCCCAGCGGGGATCACGGGGAGGGAGGAGGGAGCAAGGATGAGGGAGGAGGGAGTAGGGACCGATGAGTAACAGCTTTACTTAATATACATATAAAATATATGACACGCACACGCGCAAATACACCCACACAGCGCACATACTTCTGGAGGTCCGCGCGGCATATGGGATCGGCGCTGGGACCCACCCTGGCGGCGCCTCTGGCGCCGCCTCAGGCGCTCTCCGCGAGGGAGGGGGCTCCAGCGCCGATCTGAGAAACCCGCGCGGACCTCCGAGTGTTTCCATGTATGCCGTGTGCTGTTGTTCGACGGAAAAAGAGGGGGAGAAAGGGGGGGACGTAAGATGAGAAGGGGGTAAGAGGACGGAGAAGGAAAGAGGAAGAGACGGGGGAGGAGGAGAAGGAGGAGAGAGGCAGGAGGGAGGTCGTCGTCGAATTGCGGCATACGCAAGAAGCTGTGCTCAACGTGATGCATTGCTCGTCCCAGGCCAAAAAGCGGGGAGCGTGGCAGCTAGATCAAACCATGACCGCTCTCACGGAGCCCGAGACGAAGCAGAGAACGCGAAACAACAAAAGCGCGCGGGAGCTCGAAGGCCCGGCAGGGCGTGCGCCAGCCCAAGCCCAAGGGGAAGGGAGCGAAGCGGGGGCGAACGGGGGAAGCCAGCGTGGAGCACACCGACTACGCACTAGACGACGACAGGGCTGAGCCTAAACGGTGCGTTTCGTTTTTCGTTTTGCTTTTCGCTCTTCCTCGTTTTGCCTGCGCTTCGCCCTGAGTGCAAAACAGAGCGAAAAGCGAGACGGCCCACGAGATGGCCAAAACATCGTTTAGGTCCAGCCCTGCTAGACGAGGAGCGGCTGAAAGACAGCTCGAACTCTGACGGCGAAGCGGCACAAGAAGATTGCAGTGCGAAGCGCCCTGCGAGAGCAAGCGAAAAGGGAGCACGGCCGTGCAGAGAGATTCTCATGCACGCAAAAAACTGTTCCACGAATTGACCGACTGCGGGTGTAGAGCGCGGCTCCTGATGAGGAACGGCTGCGACGGAGCGACACCCCAACGGAACGCGCAGCGCATTCAGCAGAGAACAGGCGATAAAGGGACCCTCGCCCCAAACACACGCGGAACTAGATCGCTGCAGAAAATGGCGCGGTAGTGTGTCAGTACGTGCCGTAACTCACGAACTGCGTATGGAGTCCTCCTGCGAACGGCAGCTCCATGAAGACGACCGCCACCTTGTAGCATGCCAGCGAGGTGGTACACCAGCAGGGGTAGGCTGCGAAGCAGCCCGCGATTGCGAGGCAGCGTGGGCCGCAGGAGATCAGCAGCCACGGATAGATGCCTGGGACCTCGTAGCACTGCGCCGTGATGCTGAGCTTGGAAGCCTGAATCTGCGACAGGGACGCGCTGCCGAAGCGGCAGTGGTGACCTCGAAAGCGGCAGGCAGGCTCGGGAAGATGCCCGGCACCTCGTAGCACTCCGCCTTGATGTTGAGGTTGGAAGCCGCCGACTGTGCCAGGGACAATTTGTCGAAGCAGAAGTTGTCCCCGTAGGAGAACGGCAGCCCCTGTGGACGCCCAGCACCCTCTGGCGCTCCGCCGTGATGCAGCGCGCATATGCGTCTGGCAGAAAAGATTCCCAAGAAAGGCAAGTTCTCTAAAGGAGCCGCCCTCCCAAGGAGGCACGCCTCGGACGCGACCTCCAAGCAGCCCGCACCTACGGAACCGCTGGGGCCGAAGAAGATGGGCAGCCACGCGCGAATGCCAGGAACCTCGTAGCAATCCACCGTGATGATGCTGAGCATGGGCGCGCTGTCGTAGCGGCAGGGGTCATCCTCGAAGGCGCTCGGCAGCTCCGTGAAGACACCCAGCACCCTGGAGCATTCCAGCGAGGTGGAAAATACCGGCCGGGGAAGACGACGAAGCTGCCCTCGACTGTAAGGCAACTGGTGTCGTGGTAGATCGGCAGTCCCGAGTGGAAGCCCGAAACCTCGCAGCACTCCGCCATGACGCTGAGCTTAGAAGCCGCCGCACGCGCCACGGACGCGTTGCCGTCGCGACAAAACCACTCTTCGAAGGCAGTGGGCAGCTCCGGGTAGATGCCCATCACCTCCACGAAAGACTCGCACATGACGGCGATGCCGCAGGCGCAGTCAGAGATTGGGCTATACGCAACGCTGGTGAGGACAGCCAACGACGTGCCATACACACCAGCACGTACCCAGACCCCCGACGTCATGATTGTTTCATGACTTCGAACCCCAGGTCTCGACCCATTCCCTGGGACCAGTTCTTGTATTCGGAGTCGTTGTGTTGACGGTCCCGAGGCACAGAAAGAGGCCCCCAGAGTTGAAAATAGCGAAAAACTGCTTTTTCGAGGCGAACGAAGCCACTGGCAACTGGCACCTCCCAAGCAAATCCGCTTGAAAATAGCAACAACAAAAAACCTTCCGTCGTGATTTGTTCACGACTCGAGGGGTCTGAGTAGCGCGCCTCTCCGAACCTGCATGAGATGGGGACGACGAGGAGCTGAGCGTAGCCGGCTACGCCCAAGGGCGCGGCGCGCAGGGGCCCATGCCGTGCAGTCGCAGCGTGCAAAGGGGCGAGGGCAAGATGGCTGCGACTGCGGCCTTGGGCCTCAGGAGGGAGGAGGGAGGAGGGAGGAGGGAGGAGGGAGGAGGGAGGAGGAGGAGGAGGAGGAAGAAGAAGAGGCCCAGCGTCTCAGAGGGAGGAGGACAATGAGGCGGAGGAGGAAGAGGAGGAGGAGGAGGAGGAGGAGGGGGAGGAAGAGAGGAGGGAGGTAAGGTGAGGAGGAGGGTAGACCGTTCGCAGATCCACCAGCTTGAAGACGTTCTTCTCGATCTGGGCCACGTCCTCGACCTCCTCGATCTTCCCAGCCTTGTCAAAGTTGATCTCGTAGCGATGGTTGCACTGGTTGAACTGCCGGTTGGCCACGCGAAGGCTGCCGCCAGAGAAGGTGTAGCACTTGCCCTTCTGGAGCTTGTCCTGGAACAGGGTGACGGCATCACCCCAGAAGGTGGCGCGGATCTCGCCCCCCTCGGCGTCCAGCAACTCGACGTGGAAGACCTGCCCCTCGCCGCTGCCCTTGCGGAAGGTCCGAACCTGCCCCTTCGAGGTGACACGCGCACGGATGGTCCACTTGCTCTGGTACGTCGACAGCTCGCTGATCGGGAAGAACGTCCCCTGCATGGCCGCAGCGGGCGCTGGCAGCTGTGTGCGGGTCGGTGTGGCGTGGGCGAGGAAGACTTGAACCAGCACTGACGCACACACATATGCGCATACACAGAAACACACACACACACACACACACACTGTTTGCCGTCGCGGTCACGCGCGAGCTGGCGCAGCGGAGTCGAAGTCCAGCGAATAGCGGAAGGAGCGTGGGTCGGTCCACCTCACGCAGCGGGCTCTCACACACACACACACACACACACTGTATCACTTTCCTCGAGGACGGCAGGCGCGTTGATCGGCGGCGGGCCGAACCCCGGCGTGCTCTCGCAGCACCGCTGGGTTGCTCGCACATGCGGAGCGATCGCACCGTCATCGGCAGCAGCAATGCAACTGATGAGAGGGAGGAGAAAGAAGCAGAGGAAGGAGGAAGGAAACCAAAGCCCTGCATTCCCTTCGCAACGGAAGTGGTCCCCGTGACCGCCTCGAACCATCGCACTCTACCAGCCCTGTTCGCCCTGCCAACGGAACACGAGCGAGGTCTGAGCCCCGCGACCAATCGAAGTGGAGTAGAAGAGGGTAAGCAGAACGGCCCCCTCCTGCCAGGTCCTCATCACCGGATTCCCTTTTCATACATGTCCGTTGATCCGCAACCCTGCGAACACCCCCCCTACACCCCCCCCCCCGAGACGTACCCCCTCCCGGACCCCTGTTCCTGGGAGCCTTCTGGACGCCCCTGCAGAGGGTCTCCTGGGACTTCCCTGCCAGGACTAAGCCAACGAGCCCAAAGCGGCGAGAAGGGCGCCCAAACGGACCCACGAGAGCTCCAAGCGGCCCCCACACACCCACCAGACGAAGAACACCCTCAAGAGGCCCTCGAAAGGCACCAATAAAATTAGCCTGGCGAAGAACCCAACCATATGCAGCAGTGAGTACCGCAGTTGTGGGTATCGTCTTCCGTGGAGCTCCCGTTGGGGCCACGAAACGCTGTCCTGGGCGGGAGAACCGTATGCGAACTGCGCCACTGGGACCTTCGGTGGAGCTCCCCATGGGGCCGCGAAACGCTGTACTGGGCGGGGGAACGGCGTGCGGACTGCGCTACTGGGGCACGGAGCCGCTAGACCGCCACCCAGACCCAGACGACGGGCGGCGACGAGGCGACGAAGGAGCGGCGACGGCGAGCACGGAGCGGCAAAACAGCCACCCGACCCAGCTCCTCTTACCAAGCATAACAAACCCAGAAGTCCAAGCACTGGTTGGGAAATGATACCTGTGCTACTGGTACCAAAAATGATTACTCTCAATGCGATTAGTAATTACATTAATCAGCACCCTCATCATCAGCAACCGCATCATCATCATTATGATCAGCATCATCATCAGCAGCAGCAGCATCGTCATCATCATCTTCTTCATCATCATCATCATCATCATCAGCATCATCATCATCATCATCATCATCATCATCATCATCATCATCATCATCATCATCATCATCATCATCATCCACAGCATCATCATGTCTAACGCTATCGACGCCACACCAATCATCATCCTCATCATCATCATCATCATCATCATCATCATCATCATCATCATCATCATCATCATCATCATCATCATCCGTAGCAATTTTGGCTCAAGGTGGCGCGATCAGGGCAGATGTCTGGTCTCATGAGGCTGGCTCTAGCCGTCGCGTCCATTCTTGGGTCAGATTCCCAATCTTCCAAGCTTCCAGTGAGGCCTTTGGGGCCACAGCTCTTTCCATATTACATCACCGACACCCGGCCCCAGTCGCCCGATTGGGAGCCCAGCCGCGGCGGGCTCGACCAATGGCAGGACGTGGAGGTGGTGCTCGAGGTGCCGCGCGCGGTGGCGGCGGCAGAGCCAGTAGTGGCCGTGGACAGCGGGGCGGCCAAGCTCCAGGCGCGGGCGGCAGCGGTGCAGCGCCCAGGGTCTGGGATTGCCCTCAGTGCGGAGCCAAGAAGAATTGGGGCTCTCGGCACGTCTGCAGGAGTTGCGGCTACGACTGGTGGGAAAGCGGTTCTGGTACGAGTTCTTGGTGGAGTGGCATGTCACAACTGGACGCCAGAGAACGCCACGAGCTCAACCAGTTGCGGAGGAAGGTCAAAAAGTTGGAGACCAGCAGCCAAGCAGGACCAGGAGTCGATGGCGGTGGCGCTGGGGCGGCAGGCGTCGGGTCGCAGCCTGACGACAAGTCAGAACGTGTCCGCCGATTGGGCAAGCTACGAAGTGAGATCAAGAAGATCGAGGGCGTGGACGGCGCGGAGGCCATTCTCGAATCCAAACGGCAGGAGGCGCAGCAGTTGGAGAACGAGCTGGCAGCAACCAAGCCCACATCAGTCCAGCTCAGTGAGTTGGAGCGCAAGCAGAAGAACCAGGAGGCCACCACGGCGGCCTTGGCGAGCAGGATCTCGGCGGCGGACAAGCAGCTCGCTGAACTACAGGCCCACAAGCTCGAGCTGGAGGGCAAACATGCGCAGAGTCAGGCCGGCGAGAAGGAGCTCCAGGCGCTCATCGACAACCTCCTGGCGCAACAGCTCCGCGAGCGTGAAGCACAGCAGCGGGAGGAAAGGCCGCGAGGGACGGCTGCCCCAGCGTCCCCAGGCGCCCAACTCAGCGAGGGTGAGCGAGCCACCGCTTTCCTCGCCGCTCTTAATCAGTGCTCAGGCATGCTCGCCCCTGGCTTCGCTGAGCAATGGGACGGCCAAGTCGCAGAGTTGCGGCGTCTGGCACAGCGCGTCGCCACAGCAGGTGCCGCGGCGGAGCGAGACGGGAGCGGCGACGAGCAGGAGATCGACGAGAAGGACGTCGACGCCATCCTGGACTCCCTGGAGGAAGAGGCCACCGAGGAGGGGCAGCAGAGGCCGTGTCGGGCGAGGTGGGCAACGGCGAGGCAGCAGGCGACGCTGCAGGCAAGGCCGCCGCAGCCGCCGCCATGCGCAAGCTTCGTGCCCAGAAGCTCCTCCAAGGCCTCCGCTCCGCGGGGATCCGCAGAAGGGGGAAGCGGGGGTAGCCGCCCTCACTTCACCATCGTGAGCCTCAACGGCAGCGGATGGGGCCCTTTCACCACCATCCTCGGCGAGCAGCAGGACCCACAACAGCAGGCGGTGGCGGAGGCGCACCTCGGCGACGCACTGTGCATCCAGGAGCACCACCTCAACGGCTACCGCGCCGTGGAGCAGGAGCAGTGGTGTCGTCAGGTTGGCTGGAGCGCCGTGCTGACCCCAGGGGTGAGCTCGGTCGGCGCAAGCCTCCAGCGCGCCGTCAGCAGCGGCTCTGGCGTGGCCGTGCGCACCTCGCGCGGCATGTGCGGGCCAGGCGCTGGCGGCAGCAAGGACAGCTGCCACGCGGCCGAGGGCCGCGCGACCATCGTGCACATCAACGGCGTCGTGCCTGGAGGCTTCCTGCTGGGCTCGGTCTACCTGGACAACGACGACGTGGGCGAGCACAGCCAGAGCGTCTTGCAGCAGGTTGGAGCCACGCTGAAGTGCACTGGCAAGCCCTGGGTCCTGGCGGGGGACTGGAACGTCGAGCCTGACAGGTTCCACCTCCGCGCGGGGCACTGGCTGCGCAAGCTGGGCGGCCACGTCGTCGACTCGGGCAAGGGTACCTGCCAGCACTCCCCCGTCAAGGAGCCATCTGAGCTCGATTGGTTCATCGTCAGTGCAGATATGCTGGACCTCGTCAGCGGGTGCGAGCGCCTCAATATGACGGAGCAGGGCTACGCCAACCCGTGCAGGCCCCACATCGGGGTCAAGCTCTACTTGGCTTGTCAGGGCGACCTTGGCCAGTCATTCCGCGTCAAGGGCCCCGCAGCCTTTCCCAAGGACAGGCCATATGGGCCTATGCCAGCCAAGGAGTGGAACCACGACGAGTTGCGGGACGCTATCGGAGTGGGGGGGGACATGCAGGCCATGACGGAGGTCTACCGCGCCCTGTGCGAGGGAGTGGAGAACGAGCTCGTCTGGATCTACCAGATCCCGCCCGACGACGCCAGTTTGTACCGTGGCCGCGGGGGCCCGCCGAGCTTCAGCTTCGGCACGCAGGCCAGGGCGCGCACCATCAAGGGGCCCAAGGCCAGCTACAAGGGCAAGAAGCTCATGCATCTGAGCGACTATTTCACGCAGCTCCATCAGCTCGTCGGCGGAGGCTCGGATGCCGTTTCTTCGGCAGGGCTCGCCCAGTGCCAACTGGACAACGACGAGCGGGCGGCGGAGCGGATGGAGGCCAGGGCAATCAAGCGCTACAAGCGGGTGCTCGGGCGCCGTGCCCGCGGTTGGGTCTCCAACCCCAGCAACCCCGACCACTACGCGGACGAGAACGAGTGGTTGGAAAATTGCGTGCCCTACATCTTTCGCATGCTGGGGCTGCCGACGCACATTGCGACGGGCCTGGCCCAGAACTTTGGGCGTCGCCTGCAGACGGCCAGGGAAGTATGCGAGTCTGCCTGGCGTCGCGGCGGCGCAGGCAGGCAGGAGCTGGTGCGCATTCTTCAGCAGCTCGGCCTTCTCGACCACGACTGCTGGGAGGAGGAGCTGCGCAGGACGGTGGACAGCTACCACGAGTCCAGGCGCCGGCTGGAAGAGCGGGGTGACTACAGCAGGCCCCTCCCAGGCGCGCCCATCGTCCACGGCTATACCGAGACGGAGAATGGCATAGGCGACGTCGCTCCCCTACCACCAGTGCTTCGCAGGCTAGCCACCTGCCCAGTGGACGCGGGGGGGTGGAGTGCCATCGAGGTGGGTGAGGCAGGCGTCAGGCGCACACTGGCGCGACTGGCCAACGGCTGGCTGCCGCGCCTGCACGCCCCCGACGCGCAGCAGGACAAGGCAGAGTGGATGGACCTCTGCACGCACTACGCCTACGTGCGCCCCAGCCAGTACGAGGGTGGCAATGGCGACGAGGGTGAGCAGGTCGGCGTCACAGAGGGCCAGTCTGACGGGGCGGGGATGGGAGCCGCATCTGCGGACGGGGACAGCGCGACCCCACCCCAGCCCCAAGTTAACTCCTTTGCGAGCCTCGCAGCGGCAGCGGAAGCCAGCAGTGCGAGGGCCACGGGAGAGG